TAATAATTGCAAATGTTTACATATATATCCATTTAAAGTATTACACCTTGTCTGAAATCTGAATTAATTAGAGAAACCGTGTGAACATGTCAACTATGACCGATCCGAACCATATATAATATGACACAAAAACGATGACTGGGAGATCCATTTTGTATTTGCGACCTTGAATTTAAATCATGCCAACCAAACTATTGCTTCTCTACAATATAATAAAATTTAAATAATTTTTTATACTAGATATAAAGAAGAAATAATAATATGGATCACAAACATACAATATGTACCTATATGTACCTGAGTACCTCGTGGACAAATTCTTATTCCCCTAATGGTATAATTTGTACATAAAATATATTAAGACTGTTAAATGTCAAATGTCATGTGTGGATGCACATCAAAGTTATGATAGATATCTCAAGCATGCCCTTCACGTAGCCAGCTAGGATCTTTGTGTATACAGTATTTAATTTGCAATTATTTAAATATGAGAATCACAATCCTATTGAAGATTGAAAAAATATTGTAACACGATATTCTCTCAGTTTTAAATCATTTAGACATTTAGGAATTCTATTTTTTATGTGTATAATCATTATTATATTTCTTAATTTACCATACTAAAATCTTTTTAAAAGAGAAGTTCTAAGAACAATTAAGAGAGACAGTATATGTATGTTTGTAATTGTATATAATTTATTGATTTATGTGAAAAAAACTCAAAAGATCTAATAATTTGAAATTGAGTGAATGTTAATTTTGGTTGATAAACCACGAAATTTGAATTTATGGAGACTGAGATCTCGAACTTTCAATTTAAGGGGAAACTGGAGTTTAACTTTCGTTTTGTGTGGACTGGAGACGAGACCCGAAATCTGTGTTGTTATGGTACTACAGTAAAACCTCTATAAATTAATAATGTTGGGACCAGAAAATTTTATTAATTTAGAGAGGTATTAATTTATCGATAAATTAATAATTATTAATTTATAGAGAGATTTACTAATTTTGTAATTTCTTAAAAAAATTTCTATCTAAAAATAATTTTTTTTCTTTATAAACATTATCTTTTAAAAACTAATTACAAGTAGAGAAACAATTATTAAGTTTAAAAAATAACACAAACTTTTTTCGAATAATAGAGTCATATTTCATCAATTTTTTTACATATAATATTTTAAATATATATCATAGTAATTCATATATAACATATATAAATTTATATAATGTGTATATATATATATATATATATTGATAAGTTAATACAATTATTAATTTATGATATAGATAGGACCATATGTTTACATGAGATTTTCAAAAAAATTATTATCTTATTAATTTATCGATTTATGTCATATTTTACATTGGTCCCAACTCGGGACTGGAAAAATTTATTAATTTAGAGAGGTTATTAATTTATAGAGTATTAATTTATAGAGGTTTTACTGTATATGAAACTTCGTTGGGGGACACAGGTCGTTCTCCCTTTTTTCTTTTGAAATCCAATTCATTGATGTTAGGTAACCAGTCTACTTCAAATTTGTCATATCATGTCCATTTTTCACACAAAAATTGCATTATTTTTAGAGAAATTGTTAAAAATGCCCCTTTTTCAATACCCCTTTTCAAAAATGTCCCCTTTGAGAGTCCATTTTTAAGTTTGCCCTCTTTTAATTTTTAATGACCATTTAACCCTTATTTGAAACAAAATTAGGTCCACAAAATACAAAATATTTTTTGGCGGGAAAAGTGATCCCGCAATTTTCCCGCCAAAACACTTGTAAAAACCTTTAAAATACCTTGTAAAATTTTTCCGCCAAAAATTTTTTTTTGCGGGAAAAGTGATTCCGCAATTTTTTGGCGGGAAAATTTTTGGCGGAAAAAATTTACAAGGTATTTTAAAGGTTTTACAGAGTATTTACAAGTGTTTTGTAAGGTTTTACAATGTATTTTAAAAGGTTTTACAAGGTACTTATAAAATTTTATAAGGTATTTATAACTTGTAAAACCTTATAAAAAACTTGTAAAACCTTATATCTTGTAAAACCTTATAAAATAGCTTGTAAAATCTTATAATATCTTATAAATACCTTATAAATACGTTGTAAAACCTTTTAAAATGCATTGTAAAACCTTATAAATACCTTGTAAAAAACCTTTAAAATACCTTGTAAATTTTTCCCGCCAAAAATTTAACACCAAAAAAATTGCGGAATCACTTTTCCCGCAAAAATTGTTTTTTGGCGGGAAAAATTTTTACGGGAAAATTTTACAAGGTATTTTAAAGGTTTTACAATTTTACAAGGTATTTTAAAGGTTTTACAAGTTTTTACAAGTGTTTTGACGGGAAAAATTGCGGGATCACTTTTCCCGCCAAAAAATATTTTGTATTTTGTGGACCTAATTTTGTTATATTTCCTTATATATTTGTGATATCTTTTATTAAAAGAAGGGTAATTTAGTCATTTTGTACATAAAAAGGGGTATTTTTAAAAATGGACAGCCAAAGGGGGCATTTTTGAAAAGGGGTATTGAAAAAGGGGCATTTTTGTGAGTCTCCCTTATTTTTAATATACAACTAAACTTTGTTTACAAAAATGTAAATTTATAACTATTAATATTATATGAAATACGAATATGAACTACATATGAATATGAAAAAATGAATGTATATATATAAAAAATTGTTGTTGATTCTAGATATCTAATTATGAAGCGTTGCTTAGCTCTTCACGGCAGAACAATATAGCATTTACATCAATGGGATTGAGGACCTTATAAACTTGAGCGACTCTAATGGCTGAAAAAGAAAATTAGGAAAGGTTATATTATAAACTTAATATAATCTTGCACTAATAAATAAATTTTTGACTTAAAATGTTTACCTTATGACTCCTTTAATTACTGTGTGAGGTAAATATCCTAAGGGGTTCCCAATTGTTAGCGTCCACTCTACTCTCCACAAACAAGAGTAGATGACGTACCAAGCTCCACTGGTGGGGAAACTGAAGTATATTGATCAATTTTCACAATCCCAATGTCTGACTCTAAATCATACGAAATGGTTTCCCCAATGATATTAGTACCATCTATGAAGGTCACAGTAATCTACTTGAGAAAAAAAAACACATTAGAAAGGTTTTAAAAATTCAAATCACTTGTTCATATATAATGAAATTCTTACCTTTGCTCTAGACGATTTTTTTGGTGTGGAAAGCGTTTATGACAACATGTGCGCATGTGAGTATTATGCCAAAGTTATCGATGATGAATCCAGAACCTGCCGAATCATTTTGAGCACCAAATTGTCCTGCTGCTATTTGTAAGCTAACAACAAAAGGAGAGACAATGGAGGCAACATGTACAAGTGAGTGTGTTCCCAAGCACTCTACTGTATTGTGGTTGCAAGGGATGAGAGAGTTAGACCAAACCATCATCTTGGTTTTTATTATTGAGTAATCAAGTATTATTACACCTTGTCTGAAATCTGAATTAGTTAGAGGAACCTTGTGAACATGTCAACTGTGACCGACCCGAACCATATATAATATGGCACAAAAACGATGACTGGGAGATCCATTTTGTATTTGCGATTCTTGAATTCGAATCATGCCAACCAAACTATTGCTTCTCTACAATTATAAAATTTAAATAATTTTTTATACTAGATATGAAGAAGAAATAATAATATGGATCACAAACATACAATATGTACCTCGTGGACAAGTTCTTATTCCCCTAATGGTGTATAATTTGTACATAAAATATATCAAGACTGTCAAATGTCAAATGTCATGTGTGGATGCACATCAAAGTAATGATAGATATCTCAAGCATGCCCTTCACGTAGCCAGCTAGGATCTCTGTGTATACATTATTTGCAATTAGTTCATATTGATTATGAGAATCACAATCCTATTGAAGATTGAAAAAATTATTGTAACACGATATTCTCTTAGTTTTAAATCATTTAGACATTTAGGAATTCTATTTTTTATATGTGTATAATCATTAATATATTTCTTAATTTACCATACTACAATCTTTTTTAAAGAGAGGTTCTAAGAGCAATTAAGAGAGACAGTATATGTATGTTTGTATTTGCATATAATTTATTGATTTATGTGAAAAAACTCTAAATATCTAATAATTTGAAATGGAGTGAATATTAATTTTTGTTGATTTTTATTTTTTTATCCTAAAACCCTACTTTTTTTTTTTTTTTGAAATCCAATTCATATATGTTATTGTTAGGTAACCAGTCTACTTCAAATTCGTCTTATCATGTCCCTTTTTCACACAATAATTGTATTATTTTTAATATACAACTAAATTTTGTTTACAAAAATGTAAATTTATAACTATTAATATTATAAAAAATATGAATATAAACTACATATGAATATGAAAAATATGAATGTATATATAAAAAAAATTGTTGTTGATTCTAGATATCTAATTATGAAGCGTTGCTTAGCTCTTCACGACAGAACAATATAGCATTCACATCAATGGGATTGAGGACCATATACTTGTGGATAGTGCGATGTTTAGAAACCAACATTCGAATTTACTTTCACTGATTAAATGTGTTTTTGTCGAATGGAATGAAAAAGTGGCAAATTCTTTTATATACGTAACGGAAGAAAAAAAAAATGAAATGAGTTGTTAAAATCGACTCTAAATGCAAAAAACGAAGAAGATATTGAACGTGAACGAGATGGTGACACACACCATTATGTATGTGTAGAAGAAGAAACCATCACAGAAAAGCTCAGTACAATAACTCTCTGTTGCTCTATTCCAGAAGTTGCTTATGTAATGATGTAAATGCTTTTACCCCACAAGAATCAGGCAAGTCCACTAACAACTTCATGCCATTAAAAATGACAGACAACATAAAAGGACACCACTTTATAGTTCTATAATGGATCCTATAGTCTAACAACATAACATAAGTCCTTGTAACTCTCTTATAGTTGATCATCTCTTTTACCACAATCCCTTTCCAATTTTTATTTGTTTCTCTCACTATTCTTTTGTTTGTTCAGAGAAGCTTAATGTTACAAATGAACATAAGGGATGTGACCTATCCGTGTATCCTTGCTATAGGGGTGTCTCATTGTAGTTAGCAATGCCGCCGATATAATGCACAAAAGCAACTGAAATTTCAACAACCTTAAAAGAGGAAATAGTTCCGGGAGAGAGGGACTGAATCGGCTGGCGCACATGTAAGGACCTCGCCATTTGCTGTGACAACGTATGTCTCTGGGTCCACGGTGATGTCCGGAAGCGCATCATTCAGCTTCATGTCGAGTTTTGTGAGCTGTCTCACATTGGACACCGCTACAACCCTCTTCTTGAGTCCATATAGTTCTTTTACCCCATTTCTCAAGGCAGCCTGGTTTATGTAAGAATAAACAAACTATAATTATGTTAACTGAATCCACAAATCAATTGGAGAAAGAATGGAAGATACAGAGTGATAAAAGATTATTTGCCTTGCTGACAAATGCAACCGAGTTTTCACTTCCGGCCTTTCCAAATGCTCCAAACATAGGTCTTGATATCACCTACCATCATAAAATGAAAGCAAAGACTGTTCTATTTTTTTTCCAGATTAACTTTAGAGACATGTTGTCAAGAAAACAAGTCCAGAAACTAGTAGTCAGTGATTATTACCGGTTCAGGAGTGGGTATGCTCGCATTTGCATCGCCCATATTAGCCCAGGCTATATTGCCTCCTTTAATTATCATTTCTGGTTTTGCTCCGAAGAAAGCCGGCTGCCATATAACGAGATCAGCCAGCTTCTTCTCCTGCATAACAGTGCATTCTCCAATTGAGTAAACAAAAACACTGACGCTACGTAGCTACATGGCTTCCACTATTCAGCCAAATGAGGGTTTCAGATTTACAAAATTACAACCACTACTTAAAACTCAGAATCCTATAGCCCTTTCAATGTAGAAAATTTGTGCATCAGAACAAATGTTTCACACGGTTTCCGAAGCTATTGGCCAACAAATCTAAAAACTTTCAAGAGGAAAAGAAAGCTGTATAGTAAGATATGAGACGTGTGTGGAGAAGATGAGCATACCTCAACCGAGCCAATTAAGTCCGCAAACCCATTGGCTATAGCTGGGTTTATAGTGTACTTTGCAATGTATCTCTTGATCCTCGAGTTATCATCATCAGCCATGTTAGGATCAATGGCTCCCCTCTGAGCCTTCATCTTGTCAGCAGTCTGCCAAGTTCTGCTTATTACCTGTAAAAAGAAATGGAAATCACTGTTTATTTTTAAAAGCAAACAAGTATGAACATACAAGAGAACATGCAACAAAGTAAGCATCTCTGCAGAAATGATATAGAATTCAAGAATTCAAATACTATGAACCAAGAAGTAAAAAATCCGCTAAACAGAATCTAGTAAAGAGTAAAATAGCTTACTATAAGAACATGGAGAATTTAAATTATCGATTTCACAATATGTTTAAGGGTTAAAGGGATGATGAACCTCTCCAATGCGACCCATTGCTTGTGAGTCGGAGGAGATAATGCTGATTGCTCCCATATCATGCAATATATCCTCTGCAGCTATTGTTTCAGCTCTTATCCTTGATTCAGCAAAAGCTACATCTTCTGGGATGTTCTTGTCAAGGTGATGGCAAACCATCTGCTTGTGTTTGCATATGAGGTTATTAACAAGACAAAAGTAAAGTTATTCACCATCAGTTGTACACTCGTATTAAATTCTAATACCAGCATATCAAGATGTTCATCCACAGTATTTTTCGTATATGGCCGTGTTGGGTTGGTTGATGACGGGAGTACATTTTTTACTCCACAAACTCTAATGATATCTGGCGCATGTCCACCACCAGCACCTTCGCTGTCCAGAAGGATTTAACAAACAAAAATAGCACTTCAATATTTGCTTCAAACATAGGCAGTGAATTTACTTTGGTATTGTTGTTACATATTTAGTTTTAGCAGCCAACTGAAACTTCATAACTAGCTAGCGTAAGGGGAATTGGTTCAACGAATTTAAGATACTGACAATAACTTAAACTAAGAAGCAAGCAAGCATCTGAGAGGTGCATGAATAGGTGAGAGGCTGATGAACCTGTGATATGTATGTATTGTTCTCCCACGAAATGCATTGATCGTGTGCTCCACAAAACCCGATTCATTTAACGTGTCAGTATGAATGTTCACCTGTCAAATCCAAACAATTGAGTACATTTGGGAATCTATCAATCCTGTTTCTTAAAAGAGGATGTCAGGTAAAAGAAAAGACCTGGATATCATATTCTTCTGCAACTGCCAAACAATTGTCTATTGCAGCAGGAGTAGTTCCCCAGTCCTCATGCAGCTTCAATCCCATTGCTCCAGCCTCTACTATGTGACGAAGCTCTAAGGGTTTAGCTGTATTTCCCTAACAACGATACATTAGCTAACCGTAAGAGTTCTAGTCAGCTATTGGTGTATATCTCTTAAGACGTGTAGAGTTTCGAATTACAGATGATTACATGGAAAACAAGCATATCATTATCAAGAAAGAAACATATCCCACCTTTCCTGTAAACCCAAAGTTTAGTGGCAGGCTATCTGTGGACTGCAGCATTAACTTCATATCAAACGGAGAAGGGGTGCAGGTAGTAGCACGTGTACCGTAAGCAGGCCCTGTCCCTCCTCCAACCATAGTTGTAATGCCTGCAGATAATTATGAATTGGAGAAAGTGATCTAAATGCAAACAGTGGAAGAGCATATAAGAGAACATGCCACAGAGTAAGCAATCTCTGCAGTCAGGCTAATCTGCTCACCGCTCGATACTGCTTCGTAGACCAATTGAGGGCATATGAAATGCACATGACAATCAATAGCTCCTGCAGTTACAATCATTCCTTCTCCAGCAATAACCTCAGTCTTATTCTAAGAAAATAAACAAATCGAAGGTAAGTAAGTACTCCAAAATGGTATTTACTGTGTTTATATTGTGAATTAAATTACCCCAATAAGCATATTGCTCTGCACACCATGCATGGTATCCGGATTGCCTGCTTTCCCAATACCAAGAATATGACCATTTTTAATGCCAATATCTGCCTTATATATTCCTGAATAATCAATTATCACACTATTGGTAATGACAGTATCCAAGGAAAGAGCTTCAGATTGCTCTATGCCTTGACCCATGCCTTCTCTTAAAACTTTCCCACCTCCAAATACACATTCATCTCCATAAACAGTATAATCTTTTTCGATTCTTGCGTACAAGTTGGTATCACCTAGCCGAAGCTTATCGCCAGTGGTAGGACCATACATATTTGCATACTTTTCACGCGAAATTGTAGTCGTAAATCTAGGATCTTCCCCTACGATCCCCTCACTGCAAAGAGATCAGTTAAAACTTAATATTGTTGAATATGGGAGTAGGGTGACCATATTGATACTCAATCTTGGAACATAAAAAATGCAAAATAACTAGGACTTAACCTAGCATCAGCATCTTCCAGGTGCCTAAAGCCTCTTCTCTCCATTGTTTCCATTACAACTGTCCAATTGACATCATCAACTAGACCGTCAACAATTCCATTTCCTCCCCTAATCACTTTATTTCCACCAATATTCACAAGTATAACACTTTTTCTTTCTCCAGGCTACGAAAAAACATAACAATTGTCACTGACAGGACTAAAAGCTGGTCATCCTTCAGCAGAGAAATAGAACAAAAGATAGCAAGTTAATAGAGTGTGTAATGGCAACAGCAAAGAATCCCTAAAGATGATGCCATTTAAACCTCCTTTGAAAAAGATTTTTCAGGTTTTATAATGTTAATCTTGCTTTCTCTGCATTTTAATTCTAGCACAAACACCATCTAATTGAGGCCAATTAAAAAATATGAGAAATGAAACAAGAGAAAGAGAGATTCAGAAATTTAACCTCAAATCGTACAGCTGTTCCAGCTGCTATATTCAGACGCATACCAAGAGCTTTACGTCTGTCAAACACCAACAATGGATTCACTTCAATGAAATGGTAATGACTTCCAACCTGAAAGGAGACTCTGGAAAATTAAATATAACGGATTTGTAACCTATCTCCATGACTCCATCTATAAAAGATATCTTACATTAAAACTGAAACACAGAAGAAGCAAGATATGACAAATTAACACACCTGCACTGGTCTGTCTCCAGTGTTCACTACTTTAAGGACTACTGCTTTCCTTCCATGATTTATTATTATACTTCCATCTCCATATTTCATATCACCAGGAATTACATCCTCATGAGCTTCCGGAAATTTATCCAGTGAAGGAACTACAAACCAAACCATAATCATATCATAATCTAATCACATTAACAATATATCTACTTTGACAAACTTCTATTTCACAGGACAATGTAAGGATAATGATTATCAATCTCACATGAGCAGTCTAAGCAAGAAAATTAAAAAAGGCTAACTGTAAAATGCAGGGATCAAAATCGAACCTGGAAGGAAAGATCCATGTAAAGCTAGTTCAAGGTTCCCATTTTCAAAAGAAATCGGTTCATGAACGGTAACTAACTTTGTACCATCACGAAACGTCCCTTCGACCTACAACAACCTATACTAGTTATAATAACTTGACAAGCCATGAAAAAAGGCAAAACAAGTAACATGAAAGCAGAACCTGAACCGTATACAGAAGATGTACAACAGCAGGAAGAACTTGTCTCCTGTATACAAAACAAGAAGATGCAAAATAGTAGTGAAGATATCCAAATAACACAAAGTGAATTGATCTTTCTATATAATTCATCATATCACCTTCCTAATAGTTGTCTTCCAATATCCATTAGCTCCGCCACGCTTTTATCGCCGTCACGAATAAACTCAAGAATCTACACATCTATGAGAACCATCAGCTTATGAATTGAGAAATATTCAAAAAATCGAAGAATAGTAGAGAGTACCTGAGTAGCAATGAGTGCTACAGATTCAGTGTAATTGAGTCTAATACCACGAGCAAGACGCTTTTGTGCGAGGAAACCAGCTTGATGAAGCTCTAACTTCTCGATCTCTCGCGGCAACAACTTCATTTCTTCAGCTTCCAATCCAATCCAGTTACAGAAACAAACACGTCGCTGGGAAACAGATCAACGAAGAAACGATTCCGTTACCGTGAAGTCGTAATGGTAAGTTGAAGGAGAGAAGAGTTGACAATTGGTGACTCGCAGACTCACAGTACAATTTATCTAATTGCTTACATCATGCATGCGTCATAGATTCGGATTCCTTTTTTAAAAAGATTCCCAAATTTTGATTTAAAAAGCGTTACCAAACCTAATGTATCGAATTGGAACCGAAGTAAAAAGAACCAAACCGAAATTTGAAAATATCCGAATAGATTCTAAATTTTAGAAATGTAACCGAACCGATACTGAATCAAAATATTTCGGATATCCGAAATACCATTATATATCCAAAAATATTAGTTATTTATATACCTAATAATCAAAAATACCCAAATATATATATAGTATTAAAAATATCTAACACAAAATATCTGAATGGAAACTAAATTTTAAAACCGAAAAAACTTGAACCGAACTGAAACCGAACAGAAATTTCAAAATACCTGAATGGATTCTAAACTTTAAAACCGAAAGAATCGAAATTGAATGGAAACGAACAGGAACCGATCGGATACCCAAACGCGGATGTAGTTTAAATAACAGGTTTAAAAATCCCATATTTGGCAACCCAGTTTCGATTCTTCCATGATGTTAAAATATGGTTTTCAAGTGAGACTCGCAAAAGTAAAAAAAAAAAAAAAAAAAAAGCGTAACCGCTCGTTCAAAAAAATGCCCAGCTGAAATCAAGATTAACCGCTCGTTTTCCTCTGACTAACGTATATATAAAATCCTGAAATCAAAACTAATTTTCTCATAGCTTCCTAATCATTTTCCGGGAAAATTTACAGACTAAGAAAATAAACATTCCCTTCCTCTCTTTAAAAGCAGCTACATTCCTCATAAATGGTACACAATTTTCTTTGTACCTACTCTTGATAACCTCAAATAATGTTTGGTTAATTTTTTGATTTTGGATTTTGACAGGAGCAACCGACGAGAAGGAGGCCACGACGTCGTCCTCTTGAGACTTGTGGTGGTGTGATACTCTCCATGGCTCGTGTTGTTTACACAAGAAGCCAGACTCTGAAGAAGAAGAAGAATCTAGCCTCTTGGCTATTGCGGAAACTCTTCGAATTCGTTATCTTCTTTGTTTCGATGACAAGTCCGTTTCATCGCCATTTTCTCGCGATTCTCTCTGTAGCTGACGATCACATTCTCGCGTTGCAAGACGCGATTGAGACTTATTTTCCTTCTTCCAGCTTTGTGTTCGTTAAGATCTTCGATTTCCTCATCGTTGTAGAGAGTTTTCCTGAGAAATTTGATGGATTTCTCAAGAAACTTCCGAGTTTGATGAACCGAGTGGCGTGGCTAGATTGGTTGTTGGTTCATGCTATTTCTTGGCTTGGTTTGTTGGTGAATGTGCTGGGACGTTGGAGAGATAAGAACAAAGGAACCAAGGAGAAAGAGATCACGGTCGATAGGAGCTTTAGCAGATCAGGATCAGTTTCAGAAGAAGAAGAGGAAGAGAAGGCGAAATTCGGGACGGAGAAGAAAGTGTCGTACAAGGAGGCATTACAGAGAGGAAGTAGTGGAGAAGATGGCGGTGGAAGCACTGGTCGCAGCAGCAGCAGCCGCGGAGATCCTATTTTGGAACTGTTTGAGACCGGATGGATTCAGAATCCCATCAAAAGAAGTAGTAGAAGCGCGGATTCGCTCACCTTCTCGCGTTCTGAATCCTACTCGACCTGATCTCTTTCGTTATACGAGTTTGAACCCGAGGGGTGACACAATAGATTACATGTTTTGGTCTCTTTCAAGTACTTGTTGTATTCTTTACTTTTGTAAATATCATATTCTAAGTAACCTAAGTTGAAGATTTGTTTACTCTAACTTTGGATAATTATCATTGAAACATAAGAAACAAGAATAGCAATAAGTGAATTGATGTTAAAAATTGGGGTTTTGTTTTATTTGTATTTACCTTGATATACATCTTTTTTGGCTAACCAAAAGAACAGCAAAAATCGAGTGTAATCACTAATCACAAAGAGACCTGTACATATCCTCTATGAGATGACTTTTGTAACTTGTAACAAAGAAAGAAAAACAAAGCTTTACATACAAAGGTTGTGTACATGTGATATTTCTTCTTTCTCACTCGCGAACCGAGTAGCTTTTCTTCCAGAAGAAGCTGAATGGTCTTGCCAACGACTTTCTTCTCGACATTGATTTCGACAAGAATCTTGGTTCATAGTCTGGAACTGGAGCTGAAGCTGGATTTGATCCATGGACAGACATCGGTGCTGAGAGAGATTTTCTGGGAGGTTCCTTTTGTGGGGGCTTATCTCTGTTTGGAGATGGCTGATCCCGTTGCTGCCGTTGTTCCCTAAACAGCATTAGAAGCTTCTGAGACTTCTCTCTGCCTCGCGGTGTCCCGTTCACTGAGATTGACACTAATGATGGTATCACACCTTCTTGTAGCACCATTTGGATGCAAGACTCTCTTCCATTGCATAGAATCAAAAGGCATGAAACAGCTTGCTCCTGCTCTGTCGTGTCACCCATGTCTAGCACCGTTGCTAAACTGCTGATCATGCCCTGTGATGATACCGCTTCATCTTTTCCCTCCTGGCTCGAAGCTAGATTTAGCAATACGGCTAATGACTTCTCTGTCCACAAATTTTCACCTGTTGATGTGAGAAGGCCTTGGAGGCTCTTGATGATGTTAGTTGAAAGGAGAGCAGGGATATTGGGGGAATATGTGGAAAGGTTGTAGAGGGCGTGAAGAGCATCGAGCTTGCATTGGGTTTCGATTTCCCTCTGAAGAAGTTGGACAAGGAAAGGTACTGCTTGGCTTGAACCTATCACGGACTTTGCTTCATCGAGACAGGAAAGATTAAGATAAAGCGCGGTTGCTGAACCTTGGGACTCAGAAGAAGAAATCATTTTCTCGAGCAGCGGAATCACCCCAAAAGTTAACATCAACTCTTTGTTCCTGCAAACCATGGAAAAGAAAAACACAAATAGTAATGAGAAAAGTCACAATCTATTATTGTATTACCAGCATCAACAAGAGGTACGAACCTGTTGTTGTTGACGGCTAAATTGAACAGAGCCATAGCTCCACTATCCTGAGCTGACGCATTGTTCTCATCCACAGCTGATCCTAAGAACCGCAACAAGGCTTCGACAAACCCGTTGGCTCCCATGAAGATCCTGGCCTCTTCATCATCCTTCAGCAATAGCCTGATCTTTTCTACAACCTTGCCTTTTTTCTCTAAATCCTCCTCTTCATTTAAGATAGTCAATAAATCTTGATACCTCTCAAGTACATGTATATCAGAATCCTCATCATCATCATCATCAGACACAAAACTTTCTTCTGTGTTTTGTCGCTCGACAACAGTAGTACCATTCTCCTCCAACGGAACAATTTTGATGCCCTTCAATTTACACGACCCTATACTGTTGACTGACTGTGATTTGGTGGACTCGGAGTCAGAGAGAGCTAGTCTCCAGTAGTCGAGGTCTTGAGATTCTGGCGGCCCACTAGGGATTTGAGTTCCATTCTGTTCACACCAGCTCGCAATAAGACCTTTAACACAGTTATTGGGAGTCAAGGAGAGATGTGGGAGCTGTTGTTGAGTCTTTGGGCAAGTATTGTGCCCATCACTAAACCATTTCTCAATACAGACCCGTTCATAAGTCTGCCCTGAAGCAATAATGACAGGATCACACATAAGTTGCAAAGATATGGGGCATCTCAATTCTTCAGGTGGAACGGGCATCTGTCCTGAATTTATGCTGTTCATGGGCTTGTCGTTTAAAGAACCAAACCTCGATAGCTGACGGCCAAACCCATGACCACTCCCACGATCTTCATTAAAACCCTGAACGGTAGGAGAACATGGATATGACCCCTGAGAGTCATTCTCATCCAAAATCTCACTTCTGAATAGCTTGGAGCATTTTCTCATAAGATGCAGAAGATAAGCCACAATTGATTCCTTACGCTTGTCTTCTTCAGCGCGTGCCCTGTCAATGAGTTTCTTTAGAGCCCTTCGTTCCGCCAGAGCCACTCTAGAAGAAGTGATACTGAGTCTAGTAGCTGCACGGTGGAAAATTTCAAGCTCGGTGTTGTCATTACAGTTGTCAAATTTTTTCCCTTGTTGGAGCAATGCAATGATCTGATCACCGACTTCCTTCTCCGATGGATCAAGCATGAACCTGGTGTTCTCTAGTTCACCAACAATTTCCAAAATCTGAAGAGAATCATAAATCAAAAATCAGACTTCTCAACTAGGAATTTTCATAGAAAATGTACCCATCAGATCTCTAAGTTCAACAACCAATGAGGCTTATTTTGGGATATCATCAACCCTGAAGATCATACTTATCAAGCAACGAATGAACTAATCTTAATCATCACAATGAGACGGTGTGCAATGAACAGAGTAAAAATTACCTGTGACCCAATTGAACTAGGAACAATGTCTTCTACACGTTTAAGACCGTCGATGAGAGCAATTTTCGCTTTCTCAAACTTTAAAAGAACCGCATCCCCCGTTATGGCCTGTTTAGATTGGAAAACATTAAAGATGCAAAACACACAAAAAAAGAATGCCTAAAACTTGTCCAAAGAGAGAAAGGAGAGGGGAACAAAGAGAAAAACTCACCAAGTAAAGTTTACTACATTCAGAACAGTGCTGAAGAATATTCTTTGCCTTCTCAAGTGCAATATGTAAAGAGCACAAGGCCTGAATCCCTGATTTACTACGCGGTCTAGCTCCTTCCAATGACGGGAAGATTGAGAGTACCTTGCATAGAACTCCAGATAGTTCCTTGCACATATCTCCATGTAACTGCGTTTCCATAAAAAAACATAAGCTTTTAGCAAACGCACAATAGAGCACAAGACAATGACATCAAAAATCAGAGATGATTGAAAAATTGGTTCTTTAAGATAACCCAATTACAATTCAATGCAATAATCAGAGATGCAAATTTAGCCCTAGCTCAAGAAAGACACATATGATCTAATCAGATAATTACAATTCGAAATCAAAACATTTCAATTTATAACCGAACCTTAGCATCGCTAGCCGCGAATAGATTCTCCTCAAGCTCTGTCACATCCATGATCCAACCTCACCAGACAAACTCTGAGCTACAAAAATTTCCCATACATAAAATATCTGACACAAATCTCTTCTGAATTATAAGAAATTACTAAACCAAACAATGAATCATACTACAAAATTGATTATAGAAATTACCGTGATATGAGAAAAAGATCTTAACCCAGAAAACAAAATTTTATTCAAACACCAAATCCTGGAAAATTTGCAATAACGGAACCTCCACAAAAACCGGGAAAATCTACGATTAATAAAAAAAAATTGCGAATTTTATTGTTTTTATAAAAAAAGACAACTAAAAATAAAGCTGCGAAGAACACGTGTGGAACCAGCAACAACCAAAAATGGACAAACAAAGAACAGAACAGAAGAGATAAGATAGAGAGGTCAAACATACCGGAGAAATTGAGACCAGCCACGGAGGTTTCATAAAAGATAAACCAATCGAGAAGAATCAAAATTAGGGTTTTGTTCTTCTTGGTAACGATTCATGATTTTGGCCTTTTGGGTTAAATCATAAATGTGAGAGAGAGAAGAGAGAATAAAAAAGATATTCGAGTGGAGGAGAGGAAGTATACTTAAGAATCTGTGTGATTTTTAAAAAATTATTAAGTTAAGAACGGCATTAGCATTACTGTGATGTTAATTAATATTTTAATTTAAAACTAATGAACGGTTCTTTCTATAAATATTTATTTAATTTACTAGTTTTAGGAAGTTTTCCAAGACAGTATATTGTAACTGGGGGTTGACGTGAGTTTTCATAATTAGTTTTTTTGACTTTTATTCCATGGATTTTGTGGTTCATCTGAAAAGCGAGAAACTCAAAAGTTTTTGAAAATTCAGACGTTCATCCTGCAGATACGCTCCAACTTGCCTGTAAAGAAACAGAATCTTTTCGCATTGCAAGAGCCACAGAAACGATCATCGATATTCAACCGCTCCTTACAGCTCCAGGTGCGCAATCTACTGATTCAGATCATTTGATTTGTCAGGTTGATGGATCTTGGACAGACGCAGCCACATTATGCGGCATTGGTTGGATTCTTATCTCTGATAGTCAGCTTACCAACCTTGGACTCAAGTGTCAGCGACAATGTTTATCTCCACTTCACACGGAGTTTGAAGCGCTTCTCTGGGCAATGAGATCCCTGACGTCATTATCCATTTTTAATGTTGCCTTTGAGACAGATTCCAAGGAGTTGGTTCAGCTTTTGGACACTCCGGATGAGTGGCCCGCCTTTGCTTCGGAGTTAGAAGATTTTAATGCTTTAAAACTTGTTTTTCCTCGGTTTTCATTAGATTTTATTCCACGTTTAAACAAATGTCCGTGCCGATTGTCTCGCTAGGAAGGCAAGAGCAAGCGATTCTATCTTTTCCCATGTAAGCTCCTCAACACCGGACTGGTTTTCTCTCGAAGAAAACCGCCGGTTTCTAGCTTAAATGGATAAATTTATTTTGCTGTCAAAAAAAAAAAAGAAGATTAATTTGGTTAATTAGGATTTTTGGGAGAGTTTTGGGAGAGTTTATGGTTAACCTTTTTTTGAAGAGATTAGTGCGTTTTTTTTTTGGCAATCAAACTCCATATATTAATTCACGGATAAAAACTCTCTTCTAGAGAGAGCCAATCGGGTACCGTCGAACTTACATGGGAAAAGCAAAACCAGCGAGCTCTTGCACATTTCGCAAGATGATCGGCGGAGGTGTTACCACTACGAGGGATATACTTAATATTAAACGAAGAAAACAATTCCCTGTAATACACAAAATCCCTCATCTCTGTAGCGAAAGTAGGCCAGTCATCGGGGCTTGAAGTCATCTCAATAAGATCCGAGCAATCCGTCAGAATGAGGATACTAGTCAACGGGATTGCCAATAAACACTTCATCGTCCACAAAAGAGTCTCCAATTCAGCATGCAAAGGGGAAAGGCTTCTGCGCGAACCCTTTAAGCCCAAATGCATCCGTCTTCCATCCCAAGAAACAATCCACCCATGTCCACTCCTAGCCTCCTATCTGCTGGAATTGGCGTTACTTGTACAATAGGGTTCCTCTCGGGTTGGGGGTCTTCTCGCCTGTTTGCCCGCCTCCAAGCCTCTTCCTCTTGAGTTGCTAAATCCACTGTTTCCTGAGGTGGTTCGCTCAGATTATCAAAAATCTTTCGATTTCTCGCCTTCCAAATATACCACATGATCCATGGAAATACTCTTAGGCTCTCTTCATCTGCACCCGCCTCTTAGGCTCTCTTCATCCTTTCCTAGCGGTGTCTAGAGAAGGTCTTTCTGCCTTCGACAGATCCAGAGTTGCCTTTGTCTCTTTGGTGATTGTTCTCCGGTCTATTACCTTAGGTTTTTGTTCTCTACACTTCGAGTAAGCTTTCTTTCTCGTCTTCCTCTTCCATCGTTTAGCTTAGTTTAGGTGTTTCGTGTGGTGAGTAGTATTGTTGGCCTTCGATTGGGGAGCCTCCTGGTTTGATGCGAGTTTTGATTTGAGGTTTGTGGAAGCGGTCAGAGCGGTTAATCTTTTGGGTTTTGTGATTTTAGAGAAGATGTTAGTAATTCCGGATTTGTTTGATCTACGGTATGGCTCGATGAATAAGGTCTCTGAAATTGCTCTTTCTTGTCCTGAGGTTTGTTGTTGTTCTTGTGCTTCAGCGTTTCCATGCCGTCAGTGTTGCTTGGTTGTGGGTTGTGGTTTTTCTGTCCATCCTTGCCTTTCCTCGCTCTCTTTTTTTCTCGCACAACCACTGTCTCCCTTTGGGATCGGTTCTTTACTTAGCAGAAGTTTCGTGCTTATTGTTTGGTTTTGGTAGTCTTCAAGTTTTTAGAAATTTCCTCTTTTTGGTGTTCACGGTGTATGTTAGCTGTCTCGATCCTTCGTCGCTCTCGTTCCTGAGATTGGTGATTTTTGAAAAGTTTTACCTTGCTCCTTGTCCCTGCTTTCGAGATCTGTTTAGATCTGATCGCTTTTTGTAGGATTCTAGCTAAACGTTAAGTGACGCTTCCGTCGTCGTCGTCGCATCTGGAAGCTTGTTCGAGGTTCTATGATTTTCTATGAATGCTCTTTGCTTGTTGGGTTATGATGTCCTTGGTTCTCAAGAGATTGGCTCTCATCGTGATAGGAGGTGGTAGATGTTGTTTCTGGTTTGGTCGTGGGCATCCGTGATAAATCGCATTCGCAGGTGGTACAGAAGAATAGGGATCTCTGCTCTCTTGGTTCTATCATTCTCTTAAGGTTTTTGCCTAGTTGCCTCTGCTCTTAGTTTAAGGAGTCGTGGTCCTTCGATTATGGTTCGATAATATTTGCTTTAGGAAAAACATTTGACCTATTCACTTAAACGACACAGTCTCATCTCCTTCCTTCCAATCAACAACTCCTCCTTCTCCGAGAAACACAACAACACAAACCCTCCCAAATCTGATGACCCTAGTCGAGCTCCCTCTCTTCCCCGACGCAACAATCCCGCTTCAGATCTTTGGATTCCGTTACCGAGTCTTGATGCAAACACTCCTCTAATCCAATCGCATATTCGGCGGCGTCGTTTACTCGGGTTCACACACACCGGCCATTTCACCGTCTTAATTTTGCTCCGTCTTTGTCGTCTCCACTTCCTCAGATCTGGATCTAGAAGCATGGCGTCTCCGATTCTTCCTCCTCTCCGAAGAATTTCTTCTCCAAGTCATCCTCTAGATCCAACAGAACCCTAGATTATGCGTTCTAGATTCGCCTTACGTCACTCATCTCTTCACATTCAGAGATCTATCTCCTCCTGCAAAATCACAATTCAACCAATCTTACCCAGTCACTTCCCCAACCGAGTACTCTCTCTTCTTCACGAATTGCGTCTCTGATTTTGTTCTTGATTGGTTTAATTTCGTGACTCTGTTTTCAAGTATTGAGGTGAATTTCGTTTATGGGTTTAGCTAATTTTGGTTGTTTAATTTCAGATATGTGCAAGAAACCAGTTGATGGTTTCTCAGCTGGACTCTTCATGAGAATAACGATTTCCAATGAAGCGTCTACTTGGTATCTCTTGCTTTTGTTTTTGTGACAAAATGGGATTGTTCCAATGTTGCAGCCATCTTTAACGGGATAAGTCATCCATTTTATATTCAACCTCTCTTGATTTCGGTTTCCTATATGTCTTTGTTTTTGTTTTTAGATTTCTTTTAACTTTAGCTTTGCAGATTAAAGAGGCTTAGAGGACAACTTTACCTATTGTTGTTTTGTGTGTTTTCAATTTCTAAGGGGCTTCCTTCTCATTGGTTATGTTTATAGTGGTCCAGGTATGTATATCATCATATGAATGTATAAATAGGTCTAGAATGTTGTGCTTTGTGTTCTATGGATGTTAAGTCTAAACACGGATCTAGATTAATCCAATTTAACGTTTTTTGTTGTTGTTGTTGTTGCTGCTTTGTAGGTATATTAGCTTGAGCTTGTTAGGATCTTAGTCATGTCGAGACAACAAGAGTCGCAAGACACGTAGGAGATGGTGGTAACTGGTAACGTCACGTTTGTAGGAGATGGTGGTAGATTAGTCCATTTTAGTGTTTTTTCTTTTTGGGTTGTTGTTTAGTTACACATTTAGTAATATTAAGACAATGTTGTAATTTTGTAAAATTTTATAATTAATATTATTGATTATATTTTGTCTTTGTAAATTATAATTTGAGTTTTTAGAATTTACAATTTAAATTCAAAATGTAATGAATAGTAATATTAATAACAAAAGTCAAGTGCTATCGTCGAATATATGACTGCAGACATGAAAGCGCTATATTAAATAATGATACGATAGCAATATAAAAAACGGCTATAAAAAGTGGTGGACCTATTGTCGCGGGCGATGACATAGCGTTTTACTTAACGTTATTATATCGTTAGATAGCGTTTTTTCGATGCTATGAATACCCTTTTTCTTTGTAGTGGGCCTCCGACAATGTCTTCGGAGAATTTTAGTTTGTCCGCCGACTTATGTTTCTCTTGTTTGGGCATATGTATTTCTCCCTTGGTTCCACGACAAGTATCTTAATAAAATTCAAGTTACAAAAAAATATAAAAAATCTTCCGGTCTCACCCAACAAATAAAGTAGATAATATTAAAATGGAAGAAACAGAAATTGAAATAGAAAGAAACCTTGACCCAGCCCAAGGCCTACCTGATATCAATATATTATGGCCAGTCTTGCCTAATCGCAACTTCTCCCACCAACCCAACACCACACGCGCTCAATTATCACGTGTTAAACACGCTCTCACACGTGAGTTGTGAGTTCGCTTATGCTCCGCGAGTAATTCCCACACGCCTCTCTTGTGAGACCCAACAAACCCAGCAAAGGCCCACCTCCACTAAAAAAACAAACATGAGAACGCGTATATATATATATATATATGTATATAGCGTCGTGTTCGTCACCGCAGCCCCTCTTCATCACCATCACGTTCTTATCTCTTTCCAGCAGCAATTCATCTGAGTCCCAGCCGCCATCATCACCGTTGCTGAGACCGGAGCTGCCGCTGCGTTGTGGTCGTGTTGTGATCAAGTCTAAGTGGTTGCGTTCGTCACGGAACGTCACCGTTCGTCACCGGCTCATTGGGTAAGGATGCCTAACCTTATATTGATCCCTTATCATGTTAGTTATTGAACGGAAGTTTTAGCATCGTCACGTGAAGTTGATCTGTGGGGTTTTGTTAAAGTGGTCGATGTCTATGTTAATTCATTGTGGTTAATTATTAAACAAAGAACTTGGATCAATCTAAACCACTAGTCCTTGTGTTGTCAAAGTCCAAAATCAAAACGTACGGATCTGTGTCTTAAAGATCACGTGGGATTGTGTTTGTGAAGAAGATGATAGCTAGCTTGGTTCAATTATTGGTTAAGTACTAAACCGGAAATCTAGCTTAGCTTGGTCACGTGAATGGATTTGGAAGTTTTAGTGAGTTACGACAAGAGATATTAAATTATTAGGTGTGGGAGGTATGGTGTAGTAAACCAAATTCAATTATTCTGGATATGTGAAGACGATGAAAGACGATGCTTTGTGTCATTATTGGGTTTGTAGGAATCGTTGGTTTGATTGTTAAACCAGAACATTTGGTCACGTAAATGAAATTGTGGTGTAGTCATTTACGTGTAAGGGATTAATATTAATTTATTGATGAAATTGTGGTTAATTATTAAATTATTTTTCTTAATATTCTCTTTTTTACGTCTCTTCATCTCTATAAATATTGTAACGCATGCTTTTTCTTATTATCAATTTCGAGGAAAAAAGTAAGAAACTCATCACTTTTTTTCTTTTTTATGTTTTAAAAAAAAATTATCACTTCTTATTTGGCACGAGCAACGTCAATATCTACGAAAAGAATATTTGTTTTCTTGATTCAACAAAATCAATATCAGTTTTTCTCGGGATCTGAATTCAATATGTGTTCTCTCTCTTCTCTCTCTTTCCCGTGATTACTGATTATTGTGTTAATAATTCTTTATTTTATTTTTGCGTACGTTTTTGAAACACGTAAGAGAAATTGAAGAATGGCGGCGAAGAAGATGTTTGGAGCGGCGAATGCGAGTATTTTGGTGACGGATCTTCGTCGGAGTTTTGATGATGGTGTGACTCGTGGTTATGAATGGAGAGTGACTCAGCTTAAGAAACTTTTGATTATTTGTGATAATCATGAGCCTGAGATCGTCGCGGCTCTTCGCGACGATCTTGGGAAACCTGAGCTTGAATCTTCTGTTTATGAGGTTAGGATTCTTTTTCTCTTTATGCTCTCGCTTTCCTCAGATTGTTTTTTTCGAGTTTTTAGAGAATTGATCGTGATTGGTCAATTTTTAGTTTGAATCTTTGAATTTTGATTGAAGATTCAATTTATTGTTATGGTTTAATCTGTGTGGTGGCATTGTAGTATTAGATGAAAAATAGTCTCAATTAAGTTCGATTTTAGGGTGTGAAATTTTGCGTGAGGGTTAGTTATTTGGTTATTCGTAGTAAGTTTGTGGGAAAGTCTTTAGCTATGTTAACCATGAGATAAGACTTGTTGTTTTATTCGAGGTAGATTTAGTTCGTAGTTAACTACAAGAAAACATAAGATATTTCGACGACTGGATTAGTTGGAAATTCGTTGGAACAAGAGTTTTCTAATAAATTTCCGATCAACAAAAATTGTCAAGAAATGTTAGAAGAAAACACAGATTTGTCAGAAATTCGTCGGAAATTTCTAAACGTTAAGCGGTTCATATGTTTTGTTAATGGTGATTCGTTGGACTTTGGAAAACTTTTACTAAATTATTGCTTTCACAGAGGCTTCTATAGTTAGTTAGATAACCCCTGGAAAATATTTAGTTAGAATGTTTTATATGTGATGGGTTTGTGGAACATTCTTTACTAAAAACATGATCACTTCTGTGATTAGTTAGGAGTTTTAGCGAAATCCGAATATTTGATGTTAAATCTATGATTAAAACCCAATTATTGGTATGGTAAGGAGTCAGAATCAGATGTCGCAAGTAATATTTGCGGCTGACGTAATTTGCTTAGTGATATTTCTTTAATTAGTGACTCTTGAACGCATTAGCCAAACCTCTATAATTGGATTAACAGATTCCCCTACTTGGTCGGTCTCATTATTGTCTATGACCATAGCTGCAACGTCGATGATGTTAATGCCGACACTTGTACACCACTGACCCCAATACAACTTCAATGAGATAAGTTAATAGAGTATCTATCAACTTAGAATGCAGGTAACTTTATGTTATGCAGGAACGAATACTATAAAAATATTGGGTCCTATATTGAAAGCAAATCAACATTTAATTTTCTTCTGCTACTGTTAACTGTTAAACTACCATATAACATTAAATTTTATCACCAACCTTGTGGGGGTTTTGCACGTTTTTCATCACTTCTGTTCCTTAACTATGTGACCATGTTTTTATCCAATGACAACACAGATCTTTTTAAAACTGACCTTTCCTCATTTAATGTTTTACCAACAGAGAGTACTAGTGAGTAAAGTTTGATTAGTTTTTGTTCCGTACCATTTCTTTGTCTTGTTTTTAAGTGGTTTTGTCTTTAATCAGTATTAGATTAGTATAATTTGATTATGATGGTTGATTAATTATGTAGGTATCTCTATTGAGAAACTCTATCAAGTTAGCTCTTAAGCAGCTAAAGAACTGGATGGCGCCGGAGAAGGTGTGTGCTTTGAGTAGAGTTTGTTGTTGTTATATATGTTAAGTTGCTAATCCTTGTTCTGTTTTTCGGTTCAGGCCAAAACTTCTCTAACAACGTTTCCTGCATCGGCCGAGATTGTGTCTGAGCCTCTTGGTGTTGTGTTAGTTATCTCGGCTTGGAACTATCCCTTCTGTATGTTCCTAATGGATTGAATTTTAACTTTTATGATACATTTTTAATGAATTTTGACACTTTTTTGTTTCTTTGCAAGTGTTGTCTATTGATCCAGTTATTGGTGCGATTTCTGCTGGGAATGCTGTTGTCTTGAAGCCATCCGAATTGGCTCCAGCTTCGTCTGCTCTGCTCGCGAAGTTAATGGAACAGTATCTTGACTCTTCTGCGGTGCGAGTTGTCGAAGGAGCTGTTACTGAAACAACTGCTCTGCTGGAGCAGAAGTGGGACAAGATATTCTACACAGGTTCTTATTAACTTGACTTTATGTGTTTCCTTTCAAATGTTCTATACATGAGGATCAACATGTGATATTTCCCGCTATTTCTTGGTCAGGTAGTTCAAAAATTGGGCGTGTCATAATGGCGGCGGCTGCGAAGCATCTTACACCGGTTGTTCTGGAGCTTGGAGGAAAATCGCCTGTCGTTGTAGACTCGGATACCGATTTGAAAGTACTGAGAATAGTGAATACTTCATCCAGAACTCATGCAATTGTTTTGTTTGTACTGTGGTTGATGTAACTTGCTCCTTTTGTCTTTTGAAGGTTACCGTGAGGCGGATAATCGCAGGCAAATGGGGTTGCAACAACGGACAGGCGTGCATTTCGCCAGACTATATCTTGACGACAAAAGAATATGCTCCAAAAGTGGTAAGGTTAAGAACTTAAGATTAGATTCTTGATGCATTTTTGTATTTGACCTTCTCTTTTCTCTTTTCAAGATTGATGCCATGAAGAAAGAACTGGAGACGTTTTATGGGAAGAACCCTATGGAGTCGAAAGATATGTCACGTATCGTAAACTCGACTCACTTTGATCGCTTGTCTAAGCTGTTAGATGAGAAGGAAGTTTCTGACAAAATCGTTTACGGTGGTGAAAAGGACAGAGAAAATCTGTGAGTTTCTTCTCTTTATATTCTCATCATCACCTTTTTCACTTATGCTAATTTTTTGTCTCCATTTTTCAGGAAAATTGCTCCAACAATCTTGCTCGATGTACCATTAGATTCTCTGATCATGAGTGAAGAAATATTTGGCCCTCTCCTTCCAATTCTCACGGTAGGAACAATTTTCCTTTCTATATAAGCTCTGCTTCATCTCTTGAAGGCAAATTTGATGATCTCTTTTTGTTCTTCACAGCTCAACAACTTGGAAGAGAGTTTTGACGTGATTCGTTCTCGACCAAAGCCACTTGCTGCATACTTGTTTACTCATAACAAGAAGCTGAAAGAGAGATTTGCAACGACAGTCTCCGCTGGAGGCATAGTGGTCAATGACATAGCTGTTCATGTATAAACAACTACCTCTATCTGATCAATACAAGTTAAATAGATAGCACAAATAGCATTTTATCATTATACTAAAGCTTTATCGTCATCGGATATTTTTGCAGCTTGCACTTCACACATTGCCATTCGGAGGAGTTGGCGAAAGTGGAATGGGTGCTTACCATGGTAAATTCTCATTTGATGCTTTTAGTCACAAGAAGGCTGTTCTCTACAGAAGCCTTTTCGGTGATTCAGCAGTCAGGTATCCGCCTTACTCGAGAGGAAAGCTTAGATTGTTAAAAGCCCTTGTCGATAGCAATATATTCGATATATTCAAAGTCCTTCTTGGTTTATCTTAAACGGTAAAAGGCTGGAGACATTTCCTCCTGTATCTTATTTTCTTGGTTTTTCAAATATGAACTTATTGGTTTTCAAATATATATGGTTTGGTTTTGTGGGGATGAATATTAATTGAAGTCGATAAATAAAAGTTTTCGGTTGATTATGGAAACCGGTTTCTTCATTTCAACTTGGTTGTTTACAAACAAAGATGACACAGAGTAAAAATCTCTTTGGATTTTTATCTAAACCATGTTGTAAAAGCTCCCCTATAAAGGGAAAGAAAGTCTTAAGCAAACAAATCAAGAAGAGTCTTGAAGAATGCTATGAATCTCTGCCCTTTGTTCATCTGTAAGATGTTGCGGGAACTTAGTCCGAAACCGAACTCTCAAATCTCCTCTCTTCCCTTTCTCCTTTAGATTTGGCATTCCTTTGCCTTGAACCACTGTAACATATCCAGGGTGAATAACATCTTCTATCCTCAAACTCATATTATCACCATCAAGTAAAGCAACAGAGAGCTCGCATCCCGTTAAAGCTTCGAGTAGAGAGACTTCCACCGCCATTTCGAGGTCATCTCCTTCTCTTTTGAACACCTCATGCTTTTTCTCAACAATCACGAATGTCAAATCAGCCGGTACACTCCCCATTGCCTTGGAATGTTACTTTCGTCCCTCCTTTCCATCCCGGTTTCACTTTTATTTCCACCGTCTCTTCCTCGCACATTTGCCTACAAAACATAAAAACTTAGCTAGTTAGTCTTCTTTTCGCGAAAACTTGGTATCCAAGTTAGGTCTTTGGTAAAGAAACAAAACATACCCTGAGCTAGTAATAAGTAATAACATCTCTTGTGATCTTGATCTTCTTGGTACATCCGTTGCATAGCTCCTCGAGCGTACAGCGTAGTTTCTTCTCTGTTGGAGAAGGTTTAGCCACTTTGGCTGAGGAACTCGAATACAAAATCGGGTTTGCAAAGCTTCTTGGAACCGTGGTTGTCGGCATAAATCCACCGGATTCCGTCATCCTATTGCTGCTGCTTTTGCTCCTCCCTATAAACGATAAACTCCGGAATGTTGGATTCGTCGTGGCCCCGGTGGCTGTGTTCTGGCTACAACTTCTTGAAAGAGATTTCTTGCTCCCACGAAATTGGTATTGGTGTTGTCAAATCTATAGCTACGAACTTTACAAAGACTCACACCTTCCACCTTATTATTATTATCACCCGTCACACAGATCAAAGAATCAAGATAAGAAACGCTCTCATCTAAATAATCTAATTATTAGAAGTTGATTCGTTTGTAATCTTTTTTTTTTGGAGACATTTATTTCATCTCAATCATATAACTTGTCGCTGTCGTCATAATATATCCTAGTATATATTCACGTATGACATAATATTACTACTGTCCAAAATATAAGGAGTTGACTTTTGTAAAAATGTAATGATATAATTCTTTAAATGGAAAATTAAGATCGGTTTGCTTAATTTCTATTCATTGAATAAAACTGTCAAGTCATTTTTATGGAAATATTATTTTGGTGCTGGCTTGATAGGATTTACGCGTTCAAGAAGTTCTTGCTAATAGCTAAAATATATAAAATTATAACTATTTAAATCATAGTAGGTTGATGATTAATTTAGATTAAGCTTTCGATGATCTTTTGCATTTACTTAATTTTTAGTTTCCACGTTTTTTTTCTTCTTGGGATTAAAAAATATACTCCCTCTGTTTCAATACATTTGTAATTTAAGGGATTTGTTTTTCTTGTAAAATAAGTGTTGTTTTCATTTTGGGAATTTTGCCAAATGTGCCACATTTTGGGAAAATCCTAGCAAATGTACCACATTTGAATTGGATTTAGCATCCATACCACATTTGGTGTTTGTGTGGCAACTCTTGGACGATTTTGCCCTTCTCTGTGCGTCAGGTATGTGTCAGGGGAAGGAGCTACAGTAGACGCCGGTTGGGAAACGGGGACAACTTTGTGTCAGAGAAGGACAACTTTGTGTCAGAGAAGGACAACTTTGTCTGAAAGACAACTTTGTGTCAGAGAAGAAGGACAAAACATTGCATTAAATGCAGTTTACATTTATCATGGACAATAATTATGAAATAGAGTGAATGATGTCTCCCAAGAATAAGTCCAGATCTCTTGATTATCCATCGCCAGATGATGTGGTTTTACCAGCCAGAGATCTGGATTTACTCGGGGACAACTTCTCTTGATTGTCCATAGCCAGATGATGTGGTTTTACCAGCCAGAGATCTGAATTTACTCGGAGACAACTTGATCTTTATTTTATTCCGCCAGAGAGCCGAAGATGAAGATCTGGATTTACTCGGGGACAACTTTGTTTTACCAGCTAGAGGGACGAAAACGGTTACCAATGCGTTAGGAGAGAGACTGTGGACGGCAGAAAATTCGGAGAGTCCCATCAACCGCAGGGTCTTGTCTCAGTAAGTTGGAGTGTAGAATCGTCTTTTCACATGATGAATGTGGTATGGATGCTAAGTGGGCTTAGAAAGTGGTACATTTGCTAAACTTTTTGAAAAAAGTGGTATTGGGGCTAATTTTCCCTTTCATTTTTCTATGCAAAAGTTTAATGTATTTAATAGTTTTTGACCAATTATATTTTACTGCATATTTTCTTATTGGTTGAATTACTTGTAGTTAATGATGTTTTTATAGAAAAGAGATAAATTAAATGAAATTTTTGTACTTTCTTAATTTATATGAAAAACTTTTAAACTACAAATAAAATGAAACTTTTAAACTTTTAAACTACTTGGTTTCATTTATTCATTAGGTATCATTTAAAGGGGTTGTTGACCAAAGTGTGACAAATAACGATTGAACTTGAGGTAAAACAGGAGTTGGTTAAAGTGTGGTTCAGATTTAGAATCAATTTGTCTGGCTAAGTTCAATTATTATTGGTTAACAATTGGTTTTGAATCGGGTTTAACTATAAGAGTCGTTGATAAAAAAAAAAACTATAAAAGTCAACCAAAGTTGTTAAGTTTTTTTTTCTTTTCTGAATTTACTTCCCTTGTTCCTAGAAATTTGATGTTTTAGATTTTTAGTTTATTTCACAAAGATTGATTTTTAGGTTTTTGTTTTATTTTTTATTGATTGACATTAATGTATAGTAATTTTCAAAACGCAATGATTAACTGTTTCATATTATTATTGTTTCAAAGTTATTAAAAATGTTTAATTTAGAAAAGCAATTGACAAATAATGAAACAATGATTGCTTCTTAATATATGTGAAAACTCTAGAACATCAATCTTCTAGAAACAGAGGAAAAATATGATATTGAGGCCGTCTTCAAAAGCGAGATCTTGAAGTTTGAAACCAGTTACTATGTGCTATAGTGGATTACTAATATTGATTGGCTAAGATAAGAGTTTTCAAATGGGACATGCAGTAAAATAACGTTTTTTTTTTTTTCACTGAACTTTTCAGGTGTCTTTTTTTGTTTATCATCATTGTTGTGCCATGGAATGGCTTTTGGCAGTCAAAAAATGACACCCTCGCATTCGTAAACCCAAAAATGTGCTAGAAAACTCCGAAGTCTCAAGCCGGGAATACTAATGGTGGTCGAGAAACCTGTTAAAATAGTTCACAACAATAGTATGTCTCGATCAATTTTACCGAATTTAAGTCTCCTTGCATATACCCTATCATGATTTGACCCAAATCCCTTTTAATGTATGTTATGTCATGAAACATGATATTAAAACCTTATTTTTCTTTCGTAACTAAAAAAATTGTTCCAAAAAAAAGTGACAGATTTTTATAGTTTAATGATAATTTGCCCAAGAATGATAAATTCTTATGTAATAATATAAGTATACAACTGATCTGAATTGTTCATTATTTAAATATACAAGTGTCAAAATCACCAAAACCCTTAACCGTGTCGAAACCGCGTTGGAAGTCCTCCAATATTTTTCTACGAAGCTTCTTCCTATGCCCATAATTTAATTTTCTTCTTGCTTGGAAAGTCATCCTAATTTTGGGAAATCAAAATACACCAGATCATTTGTATTTATTCATCACAAACAAGCAAAATAATGATAAATTAGGAAAAATATTACTAACAATCATAAATAGTGTACACTTAATTCTATAATTAATATTCTCCTCTTAAAACAAAGAATTAATGTCTTACTGTATTTTTCTTTTTCTTGTTAAGGATATATATTAAATATGACTTAGATCATCATGACCATTGACCTTTACAACATTCGTATATATTGACCACATCTCTTATAATCAGATCTCATCTTCATCTGTTTGTGGATTCTTTTATTGTTTGTTGTGCAAGTAACAAAGATCAAGATGAATTCAAGATTCTCTCTTCTTCTGTTCTTGTTCTTGGTCATAGTTTCTCAATCAAAATCTTCCATCTTCAAAACCTTCCCCGGTAATCTCTCTCCCAAATCTCCTCTTTCCTCAGTCGTCCTCCCTCTCTCCGGCAACGTCTTCCCTCTCGGGTAAGAACATCAATGTTTTCTCTATCTTGTTGACAAAATAAAATACAATGTTTTGACTTTTTGTTCTGTCTTTGTAGATACTACTCTGTCTTACTTCAAATAGGAAACCCTCCAAAGGCATTTGAATTTGATATTGATACTGGTAGTGATCTCACTTGGGTTCAATGCGATGCTCCTTGCACTGGTTGTAATTTGGTATGTATATTATTTTGATTTATCCTCTCTGTTTTCAAAATGAAACTTGATTGCTTCTTATGATCTCTGTTTTGTTGTTTTTGTAGCCTCCTAAACTTCAGTACAAGCCTAAAGGAAACACTGTCCCGTGCTCAGACCCGATTTGTTTAGCACTTTACTTTCCTAACAATCCTCAATGTCCAAACCCGAAAGAACAATGTGACTATGAAGTTAATTATGCTGATCAAGGTTCATCAATGGGTGCACTTGTTATTGATCAGTTTCCTTTTAAACTCCTAAATGGCTCGGCCATGCAACCTCGTTTAGCATTCGGGTGAGCTACAAAAAAGACATGTGAATCCTGAGATGATGAAAATGTAAAATTTCTTGAAAGGAATTTTGGTGTTTTCAGGTGTGGTTATGATCAGAGTAACCCTAGTGCACATCCTCCGCCCGCGACTGCTGGAGTTTTGGGGCTTGGGAGAGGGAAAATTGGTCTCTTGACACAGCTTGTGTCCGCAGGACTAACGAGAAATGTTGTTGGACATTGCCTAAGTTCTAAAGGTGGAGGCTATTTGTTCTTTGGAGACACTCTCATTCCTTCCCTTGGTGTGGCCTGGACACCATTATTATCACCAGAGTATACTTTCTTCTTTCATATTTGCCGCGATCGGCTTCAGAGAGATTATATTGTTCTCTACTAGTACTGATCATCTATTCTTGTTCAGCAACCACTACACGACTGGACCAGCCGAGCTTCTTTTCAACGGAAAGCCAACAGGTTTAAAAGGACTTAAACTCATCTTTGACACCGGAAGCTCATACACTTACTTCAACAGCAAGACATACCAAACAATAGTTAACCTGGTAATTAAAGAAACACAAAAACTAAAGAAAAAATGTATGTAACCTAACGAAGCGATCTCTTTCGCGTGTTAACAGATCGGAAATGATCTGAAAGTCTCACCGTTGAAGGTTGCGAAAGAAGATAAGACCTTACCAATCTGCTGGAAAGGAGCTAAGCCCTTCAAATCTGTTCTTGAGGTCAAGAACTTCTTCAAGACCATAACAATTAACTTTACCAATGCCAGAAGAAACACTCAGCTCCAGATTCCACCCGAATCTTATCTCATCATCTCTGTAAGAAAATCTCATTAGAACCAAAAAACTCTCATCATCACATTCAATCATGAATTCTTATTCTTTTCTTCAGAAAACTGGTAATGCCTGCTTGGGACTACTAAATGGAAGTGAAGTAGGATTACAAAACTCCAACGTAATCGGAGGTAAGACGAACAAACAACACTTTAACAATAATGTTATTGTCTTAAACTAATTTTGTTTCTTTCGTCTGTTTTCTTTTAAAGATATCTCTATGCAAGGGCTACTGATAATCTACGACAACGAGAAACAACAACTCGGATGGGTTTCTTCAAATTGCAATAAGCTTCCCAAAACATGACATCATCACAATTATAATAACTCTTTTAAGTATAGAATTTACATATAAACAATTTAAGTACCATATAATTAGAACACCTTTATGGATTAATTAAAATGTCTAATTAGACCAAACAATTTCAATTTCTAGACTTCTATCAGACGAATCATCTTTCTTGCTTTCATCATTTAGCTTGAAAATTCCACTTTAACTTCCTTATGTCAATACTTTGTCAATTGGTATCCTCACTTTACCAAGATTTTTTTGCAAAATTTAACATTCAATTACAAAAGTTACTGATTCTGCGAAAGATTCGAATAATAAAACAACGATTAATCTACTTACGTTTCGAAAAATGTTGTTAGATTTGCAGACGATTTCAAGAAACTGTCCCATGTAAATGATTCTTTCCAAACCGGTGAGCTGCTTCGTTTCACAACCTGAACCAAAACCGGTTTAATCAACTTATAATCGAAAATTGAATTGAACTAATACCGGTTAAAATCGGATTGATTTGCACCGAATTGCTTAGAACCGTATAAAACCAGATTAAACCATAATTACATTACCTTGGTTTTCTTGGTGGGACAATTATCGATGATTAATCTGCAAAACGCGTTAGACCGTTTCAGATTATCACCGCGTTTAATCGCCACCGTGAGACTTCCCGGCAAACAATTCAAGAGACTGTTACCTCTCTCATGGAAGCTCGACGGAGCTGGAGATTTCGATTTCGATTTCGATTTCCTTGTGCATCAACTTTACTTGTTTTCCTAATCGGATCCAAGACTCATATGGTCTGCAACATCACTCAACCAGCTATGCTTTGTTTCATTGTTCTCATGGCAATACCAATTTTTGCTATTTTGAAGAGTTTCAAATGAAATATACAGTTTTCTAGAGTCTTTCTAACCAAATATATATATATATATATATATATATATATATATATATATATATGTTACAAAGTAAGTCTGATTCTTGTATTCTTCTCTACCCTTTAAACCAATAAAATTGTCTCCTTACCAAGTAAAACAGAGTTATTATTTTGTGCTCTAACAGTATTTTCCCATTCAATCAATACAAGAAGCTTTTGGGTTGAAAGAGTCAACTTCAAAATTTGTGGTCATTTTCACTTTCTTTCTAATATGTTTTGTAACAGCTGTAGCTCGGAAACTTCAACGGACAAGACTTCAATTTTGTCTCCGAGCGTAGTAGACTTGGAACTTATTCTGAGTTAATTAGACTTTGATCACAAAGGAGATTTGTCTTGAAGACCACTTTAGAGAGTAATCTATTTCCCATCTTTCTTGAAACTATGTGTACAAATGGCATCTTTGTCTCTCTTTTTACTTTAGCTCTCTTGTTAGGACAATCATGCAGTGAAACAGATACGCTACATCAGGGTCAGTTCTTGAAAGATGGGCAAGAGCTCGTTTCTGCTTTCAAAATCTTCAAACTCAAATTTTTCAACGTCAAGAATTCAAGAAACTGGTATCTTGGAATTTGGTTCAACAATCTTTATCTTAATACTGATATCCAGGACAGAGCTGTCTGGATTGCTAACCGTAACAATCCAATCTCGGAACGCTCTGGAAGCCTCACAGTGGATTCACTTGGCAGATTGAGGATTTTAAGAGGAGCATCAAGTCTGCTTGAGCTAAGCTCTACGGAAACCAGAAGAAACACAACCCTTAAGCTTTTGGATTCTGGAAATCTTCAGCTCCAAGAGATGGATTTTGATGGATCTATGAAGCGGGTTTTGTGGCAAAGTTTCGATTATCCGACAGATACCCTTCTTCCTGGGATGAAACTCGGTTTCGACGTCAAGACTGGGAAGAGATGGGAACTGACATCATGGCTAGATGATACTATACCTGCTTCTGGATCTTTTGTCTTTGGGATGGATGCTAATATTACAAACAGATTGACTATCTTGTGGCGTGGAAATACGTATTGGACAAGCGGGCTCTGGTATAAAGGTCGGTTTTCTGAAGAGGAGTTAAACGACTGCGGTTTCCTCTTTTCCTTCGTTTCAACCAAGAGTGGACAATATTTTATGTATTCAGGTGATCAGAACGATGCCATAACATTTTTTCCCACCATAATGATAGACCAACAAGGCATTTTGCGTAGAGTGCAAATGCATCAGCAACGTAACATGCAAAATTCTAGGAACCGGAATTGTTTGGCCGCAGGTTACATAGTTTCGGATGAGCCATATGGGTTCACTTCTTTCAGAGTGACAGAATCTTCTTCCTCAAGCAATGGTTTTGTACTTAATGAGACTAGTGGAAGGTTTAGTTTAGTTGATTGCAGTGCTATATGTGTGCAAAACTCCTCTTGTCTTGCCTATGCTTCAACCGATCTTGATGGTACGGGTTGCGAAATCTGGGATACTTATCCTACCAACAAAGGGTCGTCTTCTCATAGTCCTAGAACTATATACATCCGTGTAAATGGTATATAACTTAAGGAAATATATTATCTGTTTTTGTCAGTGTCGCTTAATTAACTGCAGCAAATCTATAAGACACTAAGTTTTCTGAATATGTTGTAGGTCAAGAGAACAAAAAAGTGGCAGCCTGGCATATTGTTGTGGCATCACTGTTCCTAATGATACCTATGATTTGGTTTATAATCTATCTTGTGTTGAGGAAATTTAAAGTAAAAGGTAGAAATTGTATCAGAATTACTCAAAACAGTTTTAGTCCCATTGGTTTTCTTACTAACAAGTTCACATTTTATTTTTTAATCCAGTAAGTGTTTTATTTCGTGGAATATACTACTTTCTATGGAGAGAAATCACTCCACAAGGTACGTATCAGAGACTTAGCTGAATAAATTTGTATAAGCATTGAAAATGGCCGTGTTGAGTTGAGAAATGTGTATGTGATTTTTGCTATTAATATGTTAGTGATTGGTTTCATACGGAGGAGACTTTTATCAATGAGGTTTGGTTCAACAATAGACCAAGAAATGCTACTACGTGAATTGGGAATTGATAGGAGACGCCGACACAAGAGAAGTGAAAGGAAGAGTAATAACGAGCTTCAGATTTTTAGCTTTGAAAGTGTAGTCTTGGCAACAGATGACTTCTCCGATGAAAACAAGCTCGGTGAAGGAGGTTTTGGTCCTGTATATAAGGTAGTCCAGAGTCTTCATGTTTTTGATATTATCTTAAAAGCCGATTTTTTATGTACTTCCGCTTACTTTCTTGAAGGGGAAGTTATTAGATGGGGAAGAAGTGGCTATCAAAAGACTATCTTTGGCATCTGGTCAAGGATTAGTGGAGTTCAAGAATGAAGCTATGCTTATTGCAAAACTTCAGCATACAAATCCTGTTCAGGTTCTTGGATGTTGCGTTGAGAAAGATGAGAAAATGCTGATTTATGAATACATGTATTAGAGTGTATATAGTTGGTTTAGTTATGGTTTAGTTTGGTTAGTATCTTTGGTTTAGTTTACTTAGTATTTAAGCTTAATCTTGTACACTTTTATTGTTGAATGGAGTAAAATCATAATTGAAAAGCAAAGTTTGTTAGATCTGAAATGGTATCAGAGCAATTTTTTTTTTTCAAGCTTTGCTTTGTCAAACTTCATTCTTCTTCCGCTAGCTCAAATCATCTTTCGTTCTTTGTTCATACCTCTTGAATCAATCATTATCTTCTTCTCCGATTCATTCTCGCCATTTTCATCAGAGATTTTCTACTTTCTTCTTTGTTTTCTTGCTTTTCCGATCGCGTTACATTCCGATCGAGTTCTTTCTTCTTCTCCGGCTTGATTCGAGCTTCAATTTCATCGCTCAAGCATGGTTTTCATCAAATCATCTGTGTCGAGCACTGATCTCTTCGAATCGAGCTCCAGTTTCTTTGAATCGAGCTTTGATCTCTTCGTTTGTTAGCTTGATTTCTCAGATTTAAGTTCTTATCCTTCGATTTTGAGATCAGATTTCCTCGATTGTTCTTATGCGTTTGTTTGAAGCGATTCATCATCTCGGATCGTCTTCTATCTTTTGATTTTTCTTCTGGTTATTCCGCCAGATTTATTTTTCAATTTGTCTGGATTTGTGCTCGATTTGCCAATTTCCAGCTTCTTCTCCGATTAAAATCAGATTTTATTCTTTCATTGATCGAGTATTCCGTTGGTTTGTTGGATATATACGGTTGTTGCACCGTCGTTGATGTCTTATCTTGTTGTGCCTTCTGTTGTTCAACCAGAAGTGTATCTTGTTGATGATAAGCTGTGTAGAGACACTTCATGGTTGCATTTAGCGATAGTGTTGCTGCTCTTATTTGGTTCACTTCCAAGACCGCCAGAAGTTCCCTCTAATGCCGTGTATATACTTCAGAACTCGATCTATAGATATGTAGGCTGTGGAACTCTCTGTGATGTTGTAGTTATTGTGGTATGGAGAACTTTGGAAGCTAGTTTTGTACGTAGAGAGGAAGAGCTAATTTTAGCGAGTCTTAGCCAGAATCTTGCATATGGATATGATGAGAGCTTGTTAGTGTGGACAGGACATCATCTTTTTCATACTCACGTGGATTCAAGTTTTTTTTTAAAGAGAGTGCTTCTCCGATAAACTGATTCTGGATTCTAATCACAGAAGCTTAAGTCTTGTTGTCAAGCCACCAATTGGGTGTTTTGTGATGTTGTTGGTCTCTACTGCAGCGTGATTAATTCAGTTGGATACTGTTATTGCTGAATTTTGGAGGATTGCAAGTGATAGCTCCTCCTATAGCCAGTTTTGTTGGTTTTCATGCCATGTCAAGAGTCTGCAATTCTTTCTGCAGATTGTTGTAGCTCCTACTGCAGTCCGATACACCACACATTTTGAGTGATGCTTCATTAGAGAATGAGTTATGGTCAGTTTGCAAGCTTTTAGTGGTGTTGGTTGGTGCTTGTGTCATGTTGCTCCTCAGAGATGTGTTCCAAGACAGGGGGAGCTGATAGTGATCATTGGTTATTCAAGAGACACCTAGCCTTGTTGCTTCATCTCTCATTTGCTCAAGTTTGTGAAGTTTTTTATTTCTTTCTACGAGGAAGAAGACAAGCATGTTGCAGTCATGTTTCATGGAAAATCAAAAGTTGCAGCAGCTCTTCTCACCAACGATGATTTTGCTCTTTTACTTCGTAACGACGTTAGCTTTATTGGACAAGAGCGTCTCAAGACCACGACCACCAAAAATGTAACTTCATCTAAGCCAATATTGACACATAATGCTACTGAAGATGGAGAATATGTTAGACAGTGGAGTGCGTTTGATGTTGATGCTCATTACAGTGTCACTCATCCCCCAAGAATCTCTCATTACAGTGGAATGCGTTTGATTTTAAGGTTTTCAAGTCCAAGATGAAAGTTCCTTGATACTTTCATCTTGAGGGGGAGTATTAGAGTGTATAGTTGGTTTAGTTATGGTTTAGTTTGGTTAGTATCTTTGGTTTAGTTTACTTAGTATTTAAGCTTAATCTTGTACACTTTTATTGTTGAATGGAGTAAAATCATAATTGAAAAGCAAAGTTTGTTAGATCTGAAAACATGCACAACAAGAGTCTTGACTACTTCCTCTTTGGTGAGGTTTCGTTAAAAGGAGCTAAGAATCTATATGGATTTCATCTGAAAAAAATGTCTACAAATGTGTGCAGATCCCTTGAGGAAAAACGTTTTGGATTGGACGCTGCGGTTCAGGATCATGGAAGGAATAATTCAAGGGCTTTTGTACCTTCACAAGTACTCGAGGTTGAAAGTGATTCACAGAGACATCAAAGCGAGTAACATTTTGCTAGACGAGAATATGAATCCGAAAATATCGGATTTTGGAATGGCTCGGATATTTGGAGCGGAAGAAACAAGAGCAAACACCAAAAGAGTTGCTGGCACATTGTAAGTTAAGAGTGACTAGAAACAAGGAGGAGATTCTTTGATCAAATTTTAATAGACTTTATTGTGTAGTGGCTATATGTCGCCGGAGTATTTCAGAGAAGGACTATTTTCGGCGAAATCAGATGTGTTCAGCTTTGGGGTTCTAATGCTTGAAATCATTTGTGGAAGGAAGAACAATAGCTTCCACCATGACTCAGAAGGACCTTTGAATCTCATAGTTCATGTGAAAGCTAAACTTCTTCTCTCATTTGTTAACATTCTCATCTTTCTTGCTTGCTTGTTTAGTCTTTGGATCTCTGTTTTTTTCAGGTGTGGAATCTGTTTAAAGAGAACAAAATTCGCGAGGCGATAGATCTATCTTTGGGAGATTCTGTTCTTGATTACCCTCAAGTGTTGAGATGCGTTCAAGTTGCTCTGTTGTGTGTACAAGAAAACGCAGAAGATAGACCAAGTATGTTAGACGTTGTGTCGATGATATATGGCGAAGGAAATAATGCTCTTTCTTTGCCTAAAGAGCCTGCTTTCTATGATGGTCCCCGGAGAAGCTTTCCAGAGATGGAGGTTGAGTCACCGGAGCCGGAAAATGTATCCCCAAATATTACCATCACGGTGATGGAAGCAAGGTGAATTGATACCAAGAAAACTGATATATTGTAGTATGTGAATCTCATTGTTACTTGAAATGTTTTACTTCGTTTAATAAGGTATATACACGGATATTATATATACACTTGCACGTACCAAGTAATATATAAAGTATCAATATACATACATGATTCGAATCTTGTGAGTGACTCCTATATATAGAAGACTAACAATTGGATTCATTTATCGACCATAAAATGAATCCTCCGATAGAAGACTAACAATTGACCTGTTTTGATTCATAAAACTCTCTAACTATCCTAAAAGAAATTCCGTAGAAAAGCAGCTACTAGATGTTGTTTGCCTTGAGATATACGTCTACACTTGTTTATGACTTTATTCAATATAGGGCATGTCTTTCTTCAACGTCTAAGACGATATGGGAGCAAAAAATAATACAAGACAGACCTAACGACAAAGATAATCGAAAAGAAATAAGAAAAAGAATATGACTTGGGCGCAAAGCAAAAGGATTACGGTTTCTTGAGAGAAACTCATCCAAATGGTGGAATCAATGAGTGCTTCATCTTCTTCCAATATGCTGATCTCATCATTAAAATTCTTGGTGTAGAATTTGTAATAGATAATCCAAATCATCATTATACCTAGGAATCAATATACTCTTTTTTTTTCTATTTTTTTTAATGAATTGGGTGTGACGGGTAAATGATGTAAGAAAAATGAAAAAAAAAAATGAGGAAATGAGAAAAAGCAAAAATATTTTTTTTTTAAAGGAAAAAAAAAAGAAGCAAAAATCATAGCCATAATTTTCCGGATGTTTTCTGACCTTCATCCCGTAGTTTTCTGACCAAACAAAAAAAAATATCCTATAGTTTTTGAAGTTGGGTATCTTTCTAATGTTCATTATCAATGATACATATTCACACCGTACAGATAGAATATATGTATGGATAACACGTGAGAGTAGTTTGTTGGTCCATTCTACAAATCGAACTACCACATGACTGAAACATGTATGATGTAGATGTACTGTATATTTTACAGTTGCGGAAAAAAAATCACATACCAAAATGGTAAATAGTAATATTAATTTTTGTTCAACTTCTTGATGATCATAAGAATATAATTAAATCTTAGTCTTAGCCAAGCCAGCCAAAACAAAAATGAATCCGTAAGCATAGCAAACAGAAAGCCACTTTCGTCATTAACAATAATGATATAGTGTTTTGTCCTGATTCAATTAAATTTATAATTTTATTTCATTCAAAAAAAAATTAATGATATAGTGAAATTTTTTAACCAAAATGAAAAAAAAAAACACAGTGACGGTAAAAGAATGTTATCCTAGTATATATATAGTAGTAGACAGTAGACACAGATGTAAGTAATAAAATGATTTAATCTCATTTTGTAAGTTGTTGTCACTCATAATTCATCTTAAATCAGATAATATCATAGATTTCATGCTTTAGTTTGCTTCTAAGGGTGTTTTAATGATTATAGGGTGACATTAACAACACAGCTCAAATAGTATAGTTTTTAAATGTACATTAACAGAAAATTCATATTAAACTATTTGATAACCCATTTATAAAAAATTCTAAAATGTTTAGTCGCAAACTTGAGATAATAAGAAAAAAGTTTATAAAACTCAATTTTGTGCTTTAAAAAAAAAAAAAAAAAAACTCAATTTTGTATTGAAAAAAAAAACTACTTTTATTGAAAAAAAAAAAACTTCTCTAATATATCAGAGACTTTGAGAGACCACCGAGCACGTGTCAAAGGCATGGAATTTAGTTCGACGGCTAAGTGAGGGACCCTGACCGTAACAGTTCCCAAGGAGAGTTACAAATACAATTGTGTTTCGTACCTCCTTCCTTCATTTGCTAATTCCACACTTACTATTATTACAAATAAATAAATTAGTGGCAATATAATTATTCCACATGCCATCATACTTTTACCTTTGTTCACAAAGTCTCAAAATTACAATACACACCGTCAGTAGAAAATGATGAAACTGATTTCTCATCAATATACACATAATAAGAACACACGTTACTAATTTGGATAATTTAATGTTAATAGTGCATCTAATTTATGACCCCAAACAGTAAAACATTGAACGATAAAATAATAAACATTACAATAAAAAGGTAAACTGTAATACCGCTATTATTTTTTTACGTTTTTACGATTAATAACAATCAAAGCAGTATACATCGATATAGAATTTACCGATCAAGGTTTTGGCAAACATTATTACAACAATGTGTTATGTCAAATTAAATTTGTAAACATCACATTTTCTTTGAAGTATTAAATATTTGAGATAAATTGATGTAATGTTTTGTCCTTAATTAATTGATTACAATATGATTAAAAAAGGTATAACTAACACAAATAAATACCCTCAAAGAACCAACCAATCTCCCATTCTTTCGTCTCCTTCCTTCAAACACATCACCCCTCTTAATTCCACACCAACCTTCTTCACTCTCTGTTAATTCCACAAACAAGAAAGAAAAAAAAAAAAAAATTGAAGTACAGAGAAATGATCCTTCTCTCACTTCTTCTCCATCTTCTTCTTCATCTCCTCAACACTTCTCCTTCACTTTCTCTTTCCCCCGACGGTCTCGCTTTACTCTCACTCAAATCCGCCGTCGATCAATCTTCCTCCTCCTCCTCCCCTTTCTCCGATTGGAACGATAACGATTCCGATCCTTGTCGTTGGTCTGGAATCTCTTGTATGAACATCTCAGACTCTTCTAACTCTCGCGTCGTTGGAATTTCCCTCGCCGAAAAATATCTCCGTGGCTATATCCCCTCGGAGCTTGGCTCGCTTGTTTACCTCCGCCGTCTTAACCTCCATAACAACGAGCTTTTCGGTTCGATTCCGACTCAGTTATTCAACGCGACGTCGCTTCATAGTCTCTTCTTATACGGAAACAATCTCTCTGGTTCTCTCCCTCCTTCGATCTGTCACCTTCCAAAGCTTCAGAATCTCGATTTGTCTGGTAATTCACTCTCTGGAACTCTTTCACCGGATCTCAACAAGTGTAAACAGCTTCAACGGTTGATCCTTGCCGGCAACAACTTCTCCGGTGAAATTCCTGGTGAAATCTGGCCGGAATTGAAGAATTTAGCTCAGCTTGATCTCTCTGCTAACGAATTCACCGGCGAAATCCCTAAAGATATCGGAGAACTTAAATCTCTCTCTGGTACTTTAAATCTCTCTTTCAACCATTTATCCGGCGAAATCCCTAAATCTCTAGGGAATCTACCTGTTACAGTCTCTCTTGATCTCCGGAACAACGATTTCTCCGGCGAGATTCCTCAATCTGGTTCATTCTCTAACCAAGGACCAACCGCATTTCTCAACAATCCGAAATTATGTGGATTCCCTCTCCAGAAATCTTGTAAAGACAGTGATGAGAACTCACCGGGAACTCGAAAGTCGCCGGAGAATAATGCGGATTCTAGAAGAGGGTTAAGTACTGGATTAATCGTGTTGATCTCGGTGGCGGATGCAGCAAGTGTAGCTTTAATCGGACTGGTGTTAGTTTACTTGTACTGGAAGAAAAAAGACTCTGAGGGAGGTTGTAGCTGTACAGGGAATGAGAAGCTCGGTGGTTCGGAGAAGGGGAAAGCGTGTTGTTGTATCGCGGGGTTTCCGAAAGGAGACGATTCGGAAGCGGAAGATAATGAGAGAGGAGAAGGTAAAGGAGATGGAGAGCTTGTAGCAATTGATAAAGGGTTTTCGTTTGAGCTTGATGAGTTGCTTAGAGCTTCTGCTTATGTGTTGGGGAAGAGTGGGTTAGGGATAGTGTATAAAGTGGTGCTAGGGAACGGTGTTCCGGTGGCTGTAAGGCGACTTGGGGAAGGAGGAGAACAGAGGTATAAAGAGTTTGTTACGGAGGTTCAAGCTATGGGGAAAGTGAAGCATCCTAATGTGGTTAAGCTAAGAGCTTATTATTGGGCTCCTGATGAGAAGCTTTTGATCAGTGACTTCGTCAACAATGGAAGTTTAGCTGATGCTCTTAGAGGTAAACCTTGCTAACTAAAGTTTAAGATCCTGTTATGTTCTATTGACTTTACGAATTTAGGTTGACTTTGACTTTGTCAACGCTAGATTAGACATTAGTGAGCTGAAGTTAGATCTGAGATAGTTTGTGGGGTCTAAATCTTATTTTCATTTTGTGGCAAAGATCCTCTCTACTAATTCTTCAAGCTTAATTACACACAAATATTTTTATTTTTGTGTCTATACACACACTCCAAAATTCTATTGAGAACAATGATCAGTTAGCTGCTTTTTTCCTTTAAAGTAAACGAAGATTCTTTCTCTTTTTAGGCATATTTTGGTATTTTAATAGTGTAGAGTTTAGACAAGTTACATGTAAAAGAGACATGTCTTGTAAGATAATTCTATATGTCCGAATGAGATTTAGTGTGGTAGAGTCTTAGAGTAGAAGTAATTGGTAAAAAAAAAGAGTGAGGAAACAATGATGAGAGAGGTTTACTTGTGGGCTAAGAGTAATGATTTTATATACCCACCCACTCTCTTGATCCTCTAGTTGTCCCGTCTTTTTCTCATCGTAACTCATTGCTTACTTTAATATTGATACTTGTTTGTTTGGGTGTGTGAATAGGGAGGAATGGTCAACCATCACCGAGCTTAACATGGTCAACGCGTCTAAAGATCGCAAAAGGAGCAGCACGTGGGCTAGCTTATCTACACGAGTGTAGTCCAAGGAAATTGGTACATGGCGACGTCAAGCCTTCCAACATTCTTCTTGATTCATCTTTTACTCCTTACATCTCCGACTTCGGTCTCACACGTCTCATTACCATCACCGCCCCTTCCGCCTCCTCTAACGAACCTTCTTCCTCCTCTGCCGCGGGGGGTTTCTTAGGTGGAGCTCTACCTTACACTTCCATCAAACCCTCTGATAGATCTAACGGCTATAAAGCACCTGAGGCCCGTCTCCCTGGAGGGAGGCCCACTCAGAAATGGGACGTCTATTCCTTCGGTGTTGTGCTTATGGAGCTTCTCACTGGGAAGTCTCCGGAATCTTCTCCGTTAAGCTCCTCCTCGTCGTCTACGGTGGTTGTTGAGGTGCCGGATTTGGTGAAGTGGGTGAGGAAAGGGTTTGAAGAGGAGACTCCCTTGTCGGACATGGTTGATCCCATGTTACTTCAAGAAGTTCATGCCAAGCAACAAGTCTTGTCCGTCTTTCATTTAGCTCTCGCTTGTACTGAAGGTGACCCTGAAGTTCGTCCACGTATGAAGAACGTCTCTGAGAACATCGACAAAATCTGATTCAATTATATATTCTTTGTCTTTTATTTTTTCTATTTTTTTTTTCTCTTTTTTTTTGTATCTCTTCGATAGTTCTTACACGAGGTCGTTACGTCACTAGTGGTCGATTTGTTTTTATTGAATAATTATTTGTTATGGAAATTGAATCAAATGGGTTATACTTAGGCTTTAAATGACTTTGTCTTTTTATTTTGCTCGTCTTTTTCTCATCTTTTTAAAAGGACAACTCCCAATTAACGGGCTCCTACTAGCACCTGTATTGTCCAATTCAGTTGAATAGATACATATAAGATCTGATATCTCATATCTTCCAAAGAATAATCCACTTGAAATTTCAATTTTGATCGAGTATCTTCCAAAGAAACCGCTTTCTTTGAGGATTGATGACCTAATATCTTACCTTTTTTTCTAGGTCGAGAATTCATTCACATTATGATTTAGAATGTCCAATAGTTCCTGGTTAATATCATGAAAAACCATTTCATTTAAACTTTCAAAATAAACCATGTAATCGTTAAACTAATTTTTTGTTCTTGCCCTCTCAAGAATAATTAGAATATATTCGAAAAGACCGATCACACCAATGTCTAGAGCGAACGAGAGCATTCAACAATCTTGATTATTTTCCCTTAGCTTTACACCGTATACATATTGTATCGCATTGCAATCTTAAGAAGGGGTTATTGGTTTATGGATTTATAAGGAATTGGAAATCCAAACAAAAATCATTTGTTATTCAATTATTGATTTTAAAATCCTAATTAAAATAATGTGTTATTGGTTATATGATTTATAAATACTAGTTAAAATCCTATGTTATTCGTTTAGTCATTTGTTTTTGGATTTGAGAATCCAAATTATGTTTTAAATAGAATTGAATGGATTTGAAAGAGAAAAATAGAAAGATTCAAACACATGTTATTTCAAAATCCATATATCTTGATTTCATAATTAATAGAGATTTTCAAATTCTATATGGATTTCATAATTTTTTTTTTTTTGGAATGAATGTTAAATTTATTCAACCAAAAAAAAACCATGTTACAATATATGCATCCTTAATTGAATGTTTTTGAGAGTCTTAAATCAACTTTAGAACAAAAGAAGAGAGCTAGCTTCTTAAGTCGAACCAAATCTGCAGACCATCTTCAAGCTTTCGTGAGCCAAGAGATTGGATGGAAGAGATCTTATTCCGCACCAATCTGTCGAGAAACTTGATCAACTGTTCCGGCGAGCTAGGGATTTCTCCATGTCTTCGACGATTGCGTTCGAACCAGATTGAGTAAACAGTGGCTTGGAAGAGAAGTCTTAAGATGTAGCGATGTGTTCCCTTGATTGAGGGGTCCGTGAGCAGAGGTAGTATCGCCGTGAAACAGCAGGTATACCGATGTTGAAGTATCTTACGAGTTAAGTTTTCCCATACCCGAGAAGCAAAACTGCAGGTGAAGAATAAATGTTCTTGCGTCTCCAGTGGATCTTGGCAGAGAACACACGCTGGATTGACTCCCCTGTTCCATGAGAGCATACGGTCACAAGTGGTAAGCATGTGATGTACTGCAAGCCAAAGCATAAAAGAGTATTTCGGAATGGAATCAGAGAACCAAATGCCCTTGTGCCAACTTTTTTCATGACCCTGCTCACGAATCTGATGCCATGTACCAGAGGTAGTGAAACGTGACTTATATTTATTGTGCGAGTCTCTCCACAAAGCTCTATCATGTTCCAGACTTAGACCCTTGGCCCTTAGATGATCAATCTCCACTTCAACTCTGTTTAGAATTTCTTCAACCTTGATTTCACCTCTAGACATTCAAATACTACTTGTCATGCATGTAAATTGATATGGTTTTGGGGACCTTTTAGGGAATAAAATGATCCCATGAAGGGATCATGTAATATATTTTTGATTGGATTTAGCTTTTGGTTCTTTGACAAAAGTGTTGATTTGGGTTTAGATTTATAAAGGGGACACAGTCACACAGAAAATTTCAACTTTTTAAGTGGGATAAATATAAAAAAAAAGAAGAAGCATAAAATGGATAATTAAAGTTTAGATTGGCCCACTAAATTTATCAGGCCCACTAAGTAAATGTTGGTTACTTTTTCTGCTTTTTTTCTACATTTCCACCGGCGACCTTTACCGGGGAACGGTTAAGTAGCCGAGAAAGAGTAGAACAAACTTGAAGAAAGAGAACCGAACTAAAACCGTTTGGTTTGAAGATCTAAAACCGAAAGATCCGGTTTAATTTTTCGGTTTTGGATTTTGTCTAGCCCTATACTGGAGAATCCACGGCGGGTACTGGCGCCAAATCATAATTCGTGGTTCCGGTCAAAGTCTCGGCGAAGCAGCCATGGCGGATTCTCAGTCTGGTTCCAATGTTTTCAGTTTAAGGATTGTTTCAATAGATTACTACATGGCTTCTCCGATCCCTGGTTATGATATTTGCTACAGTAGCTTCCAAGGTAAGGCAAAATCTCTCTTTATACTTTCTAAAGCTTACGCCTTTTTTATTCCAATGGTTGATTTGTTTGGATTTTTAGAGATTTTGACTATGGAAATGAAGAAGTAATGCTCCAATTTCGTTAGATAGTCTTCTCCTAGATGTTAAAGGGCAAGTTTTGACTTTGTTGTTGCTGGAATTTTAAGGTGGTGAGGTAAACGAAGTCCCTGTTATAAGGATATATGGTTCTACACCTGCTGGTCAGAAGACTTGCTTGCACATTCATCGTGTAAGATTCTTAATTTTACTTTCTTGTTAATAAAAAAAGATTGGTTGCTAAGATTGGAAACTTTGTTTCTCTTGCAGGCTTTACCATATCTCTATATTCCATGCTCGGAGATTCCACCTGAGCATCATAAAGGAGGTATGTATGAAGCCATAGCCCATTTATAACTGAACCGAGAAATGTCCTGCAGTTAGCTAGTCAAGCACCAATGCCATTTTTCATTTCTCTTTTGTTTCAGCTGATGGAAGTACACTTGCTTTATCCCTAGAGTTAGAGAAGGCTCTAAAGGTGTGTGTTTTACATACCAAGTGTGCCATGATTTCTTAGTCTATGAGCTGCGTTTATGTATCTGTTTTTTTTTTCTTCTGACTTTGTTGCTGTTGATGTGTCTCATTCAATATTCGTCCCTGATGATACTTGATTTGGACTTGTAGCTTAAGGGCAATGCTGCTTCAAAAAGGCAACATGTCCATGATTGTGAGATTGTTAGAGCAAAGAAGTTTTATGGGTACCACTCAACTGAGGAGGCTTTTGTGAAGATTTATCTGTATCCTGTATATTTACTTTTAGAGCTATACCCTTTTCTTAAGCAGTTTATTATTTGTTCGCCTTAACAGTGTAATAGCTACCATCCACCCGATGTGGCTCGTGCTGCCAGTCTTCTTCTGGTACGATATCTTGATGATTACACTCCACCATTATTCTTTACTTTATGTATGATGCATAAACTTTTGGTGAAAATAGTATACTGATAACCTATTCATCTTCCTTTTGTAATGAGCGTTTGTTTTTTTTCTTTCTCTCTAGGCAGGTGCTGTTCTTGGTAAAAGTTTGCAGCCTTACGAGTCTCATATTCCTTTTATTCTCCAGTTTCTGGTAATTTTTCATTTGTTATCTATTCAAAAGAATTCGTTTAGTGACTAGGTATTTTGTCAAATTTAGCAATTTCAGATATGATCGTAACTTCCAGATTGATAATACACTAGGTACTTTCGAAAGCTAAAAAATGGTGCATGAAAGTTGATTGCTTTTGAAACATCTCTGAATTTATGCAATGCAAATTACTGGTATTGCTATGGATTATTTAAATATCAAAATGTAATTAGTATTTTGGTAGCTGCTAAATTAAAAATGAAAAGAGGAAACATATAATGTAGCTGGGGAATGCTTTTTCTATGTTTGTGGATTATATACATCTTTTATATAGTATATCTTTTGGTGCCCTGAAGCCTTCATTCCTTGTCATTTTTCAGCTACTTTCCACTTATATATTTGCTCTTGAACACTTGCCAACCATACCTTAGATACTAATGCGTAGTGTCCCCCTCCCTTGTTTGGTAATTCCACGACATTTGTCTGCGTTCCACTACTGAAGTTTCTTTGATGCTCCTCTATAGGTTGATTATAATTTGTATGGAATGGGTCATGTGCATATATCAAAGATGAAGTTCCGTAGCCCAGTGCCTCACCATTTCCTTCCAAGGAGATTTGATTTGGAAGATTGTGCGGGACAAAGGATTGACGAAGTGGCTATAACAAAGGTAGATCTTCAAATACTTGAAGCTTGGCAATATATTGTTTGGTACTTTCTATCTTCTTTTATTTCATAGTACTGAAACAATATAGCAGGCAAATTCAAGTGCTGCTGCAAGCGTCAGTTTTCCTGTTTGGAGGTTGTCAACAATCCCAGGTCAATGGATGTGGAATATCTCTGAAGAATCTGATACACCGTTGAGCCAGAGCCAGCATAGGCACTATTACAGACGTCAGAGTCTCTGTGAACTTGAGGGAGATACTACTATTACTGGTAATTTTCCTGAAACGAAATATAATTTTTCTGTTTCATATATGAACGGACCTTTGAACTAGCCTCTTCTCTTGTAGATATTCTCAATCAACAGTTTAAAATGTACAACTCCCTTTCACAAGCCCAGTCTGATACTAACATGGTTCAGTCGCTTGTGGCAATTTGGGAGGTTCATTCTAACTTTCTTGGCTCTACTTTGAAAATTATTTAGTTGATATTACCTCGCCTAACCTCGTCGCTGTTGTGTCAGGAGGAATATGAAAGGACTGGCGTGCATGATGCACCTATACCTCCTGATCCTGACAAACCATCTGCAGCTGATGTGTTGAAGACTATGTCAGATTATGTTGGGTTTGAGAATATGCTTAAAGAAATGCATAACGAAGTTGACTTGTCCCAGTTTGATATGAAACCTACTGCAGTATCTTCAGCCGGTCCAGATAGGCATGCCAAACCTGAAATTAGTGATCTGCAGGTTTTGAATCATATGGTTGGTACAAGCAGTAAGTTTCCTGCATCAGAACAGCTTTCTCCACTTGGTGAGAGGAGTGGAGAAGCATCAATGGAAAATAATGAATATATGAAAACACCCACGGACAGAGATACACCTGCTGAAATACAAGATGCTGAAGCCTTGGGTCTCTTTAAGTGGTTTGCCTCATCCCAGGCTGCAGAGGACATAAACTCTGATGATGAAATTCTCCGGGAAACTATCCTTAGTCCTCTTCTGCCTTTAGCTTCCATTAAGAAGGTTCTTGAAATGGCTAGTACAGATTATGTGAGCCAATCCCAAAAGGAATGTCAAGACATTCTTGATTCTCAGGAAGATTTACCAGACTTCGGGAGTTCGACAAAGAGAGCTTTACCTAGTAATCCTGATAGCCAGAATCTTATAACTTCATCAGACAAACAATCTCTTGAAACAGAAGTCGCTAGTGATGTTCCAGATATCTCCACTTCAAATGGCGCAAGCGAAAATTCATTCCAGAGATACAGAAAGAGTGAAGTAATGGAGAATAAGAACAGGAGCTACTCTAAGAGCAACAAGCCTAGCAACTCAGTATGGGGACCTTTACCTTTTACACTGACCAAAAATCTTCAGAATGACTTTGACAGTACAAATACTAGTGATAAACTTGGTTTAACAAAGATTAATTCAGACCACCCCATGAATGAGACGACAGACAAATATAATGTTCCAGTCAAAGAACATCAAGCAGATGTTTGTAATTCGATTGACAGAAACGTTTTGGCTGGATGTTCTCTGCGGGACTTGATGAGGAAAAAACGGTTATGCCATGGAGAGTCGCCTGTTTCACAACATATGAAATTTAGAAAGGTTCTGCCACAGTCTAGAGATTCACCACACGGGGAAAAAAAGCAGTGCACCTTGAGATCTGAGGCCGAAAAACAAGGTCCTGCTCTTTCTGCAGAATTTAGTGAAGTTGATTATGGCGATGCTCCTTCAACTTTATCTCCTATAGATGATGGAACTTGCGAGTGTAATATATCCACTCAGATGACTGAACTTCATTCTGTTGGTAGATGTTCGGCTAAAGAGACAGCATTTCAAAACAGTGATGAAGTTGCAAGGAATTTTTCATTTACCACTGTTCCACTTGGTAAGGATCCACAAACTGTGGAATCAGGAACATTAGTGTCTAGCAATAAACTTCTTGGGATTGAAATAGATGATGTCCAAAAATCGGGGAGGGAGCAAGAGTCAACTGCCAATGAAATTGTTGAGACAGGAAGATTAATATGCCTAACCTTAAGCAAGAAGCCTCCTTCTGTGGATTGCCTAAGTTCTGGACTGCACGATTCTGCACATTCTCACGATATTCTCGCCCAATTTCATCATGCCAGGGAAAAACAGCATGATGGATGTGGTACCTTTACTCATCATGTTCTGGTTCTAGTTTTTGCTACTTCTACAATTAATGCAAATGCGGTTGAAATATAAATTTATAAAATTGAAGTTAAGTCAACTTAAGTTTTTGCAGAACTTCTCTCTGGCTGTGCTCCTCTTTATTTATCTTTACCTCGACCTGAGATACTTCTGACATCCTGTTTTTTTTTTGTCTCTTGGAAGAGGGAAATTCCAAGGACATCCCATTTTTTCCCTTGGAGGACACCGAAATCAACAAGGATGGAAAGAAACACTTTTTCCAAGGAGCTTCCCTTGGTATTCCCTTGCATCATCTCAATGACGGCTCAAATCTTTACCTACTGGCCCCTGCCTTGTCACCCCCTTCTGTGGATTCTGTTTTACAATGGATATCAGAAGACAAAGGTATTGTGTAGAGTTAGTCGGAAGACACTGGACTGCCTATTTTAATCCAATTTTACATCTTCTCAAAGGTTCAATATACATTGCTTATAGCGTTTTTCCTTACGAAAAAGCAAGTGAAAATGATTACAGTGTTGGATGCTGTAAAAGCAAGTGAAAATGGTAACTTTTGTTTAAAACTTTTGAATTTTTCCAGGTCCAGGAGACTATGATATTGATTCAGAAAAACAACCATTAGAAGATGATCATATTGATCGTGGGGCAAGTTTCACTGATCTTGCTTCTGCATCTGATGTGGTGTCTGTGTCTGAGCACGTGGAGCAGCATAATAACGTTTTTGTGAATTCAGAATCAAATACTTATACAGAGTCTGAGATAGATCTGAAACGCAGAGGAACGTTTCTTAATCTTAACTCTCAGATTTCCCAAGAGATGTCTCAGATTTCAGGTCCTGATGGGAAATCAGGGCCCACTCCCTTAAGTCAAATGGGATTCCGAGATCCTGCAAGCATGGGGGCTGGGCAACAACTTACAGTGCTGAGTATAGAGGTGCTTTAACTTAACCCTCTTCTTTGAGAAGCTACACATTTAATAAGTAAAAATCCTCAAATGGCCTTTGCACGCATAGATTAGGCATGGACACTTTGAATGGTTTATATACTGTGGAACCCTCATTTCATGTAAAACAGCTCATTGTGAGGATTAAAAACTGAAAGTCCATGCTACAGTTTTCATTCCTCGAGCCTCACAGCGAGCAACCCAATGTTTTGTCTTCATTGGGATGATCTTGCAATTACTTGAGTAATCATTTGTTCAATGCTTGAGGATACTTGGACTTATAAAGCCAAAATATGCAGCTCGTTAAGGAGTTTTGACCTTTAAAAGCTTGTCTTAGTATATAGTATGCTTATCTTTTTCCTTAGAATTGAGTGAAAATGCCCATTATATTTTGTTAATGCTGTACCAAACGGCCCTCTGTAGTAAAAATGAACTCTTTTCATTTAAGATGATGTGTTCTGGGAAAAGGTTCGTCGATACATGTTAATCTCTATAAACTTACAGGTTCATGCAGAGTCTAGAGGGGACCTGCGACCTGATCCACGATTTGATTCTGTCAATGTCATAGCTCTCGTCGTGCAGAATGACGATAGTTTTGTGGCTGAAGTATTTGTGCTTTTATTTAGTCCAGATAGCATTGATCAGAGGTATATACCAGATTCACTTAGTTTGGTTTCTTAGAAATTTTGTACCTGACGTATTCATGCTTTTGTTTTTTCTGTAATGCTACAGAGAACTTCAATCACATTTTTTCTCTAATATGCTTTTTCGATTGTTATTCACTACAGAAATGTTGATGGCCTATCTGGGTGCAAGTTTTCTGTATTCCTTGAAGAGAGGCAACTATTCAGTTATTTTATTGAGACTTTATGTAAATGGGATCCAGATATTCTTCTGGGCTGGGATATACAGGGTGGATCCATTGGTTTTCTAGCTGAAAGGGCTGCCCAGCTTGGCATAAGATTTCTCAATAATATATCTAGGACGCCATCTCCGACCACGACAAAAGATTCAGATAATAAGAGAAAGCTTGGTAAAAATCTGCTGCCAGATCCTTTGGTAGCTGATCCTGCTCAAGTAGAAGAAGTGGTAATTGAGGACGAGTGGGGCCGCACACATGCTAGTGGTGTTCATGTTGGAGGTAGAATTGTTCTCAATGCATGGCGTTTGATTCGCGGGGAAGTTAAACTCAACATGTACACAATTGAAGCTGTGTCGGAGGCTGTTTTGAGGCAAAAGACTCCATCCATCCCCTATAAAGTATTGACAGAATGGTTTTCAAGTGGTCCTGCGGGGGCAAGATATCGATGCATAGAATATGTGGTTCGCCGAGCAAATTTGAACCTTGAGATAATGAGTCAACTTGACATGGTATGTAACATTTTCAACTTGATCTATATAGTGAATTATGTGCATGTTTTTTATCCTAGTAAATCATTGTTTGCAGATAAATCGTACGTCAGAACTTGCTCGTGTTTTTGGCATAGACTTTTTCTCAGTTCTCTCCCGAGGTTCCCAATACAGAGTGGAATCTATGCTTTTGAGATTAGCACACACACAAAATTATCTTGCTATATCTCCAGGAAACCAACAGGTTCGTTTTATCTGCTACTTCCAAGTGATTTACTTTTAACGTTTCTTGTTTTATCAACCAGTCGTCTGGCCTGGAATGATGGGCTGGGCAAGGCTCATTTTGTTTACCGGCATAAATTGTTTTCTCCTCATACAGCTTTCATAATCTTTTCACGCCTTTTTTACTCACTAGCGTTCTCCTAACTAAATCATGTGGTCATGTAGGTTGCTTCTCAGCCAGCTATGGAATGTGTACCTCTTGTGATGGAACCAGAATCTGCCTTCTACGATGATCCTGTTATTGTGTTGGATTTTCAATCTCTTTACCCTTCAATGATTATAGCATATAATCTGTGCTTTTCTACTTGTCTTGGAAAACTTGCACATTTGAAGATGAACACCCTTGGGGTCAGCTCATACTCTCTAGACCTTGGTGTTCTTCAGGATTTAAAACAAATCCTGCAGACCCCAAACAGTGTGATGTACGTGCCACCAGAGGTAATGTGCATCATTGTTTCCTAAAAGCATCACTGTTTTCTGCGTAGATGGATCTTCTTCTTGATTAGCCTAAACCATAGTAGTTACCTTCTCTTCTTACATATAGGTGCGCAGAGGAATTTTACCAAGGCTGCTAGAGGAAATTCTATCTACAAGAATAATGGTGAAAAAAGCAATGAAAAAGTTGACTCCTTCAGAAGCAGTTCTTCGCCGGGTATGGTTATCTTGATCAGAGTCCATTCCTAATTTTTTTGACTAGGGAAGATTGGCTGATGAGAGAGTGGCCCAAGTTTTTGGTTCCAACGTAAAATTTGCAATTTTGATGGTATACGGTGTTTTCTTTCAGATATTTAATGCGAGGCAGCTTGCTTTAAAGCTGATAGCAAATGTTACTTATGGCTATACTGCTGCTGGCTTCAGTGGTCGAATGCCTTGTGCAGAGCTGGCAGATAGTATTGTCCAGTGTGGTCGTAGCACACTTGAGAAGGCTATTTCGTTCGTCAATGCCAATGATAGTTGGAACGCTAGAGTTGTATATGGTGACACTGATAGGTAATTTCCATATCTACTCATCTGGTTGAAGTCAATTTTAGATTTAAAACCCGGTTAAAGTTTACCACCATCTTTCATGGAAACTTCCTATAAAATTAAGTATCACCAGGGTTTCATGTATGCTTGCATAAGTTAACATATACACGTACTTACTTCAGTGTATATTATGGTCATTTCAGCAACCTGGGGAAGTATGTATGTATCGCAGTTTCTTTATTTGCTTCTTCCATGTGGCCTCATGCATTTTAATTACTTGTGCAGTATGTTTGTCCTCCTCAAAGGACGAACTGTAAAAGAAGCTTTTGTAGTCGGACAAGAGATTGCATCTGCAATAACTGAAATGAATCCACACCCAGTCACTTTAAAGATGGAGAAAGTCTATCACCCTTGTTTCCTTCTTACAAAGAAGCGCTATGTTGGGTACAGTTATGAAAGTCCCGATCAGAACGAGCCTATATTTGATGCAAAAGGTATTGAAACTGTTCGAAGAGACACTTGTGAAGCTGTTTCAAAAACTATGGAGCAATCGTTGAGACTCTTTTTTGAAAAGAAGAGCATCTCTAAGGTACAAATTTGATTTCTTGCGCTCTTTCAAATTATCAGCTGAAACTGCAGTGGCTTACATCTGCTTTTCTCTATTCATTGTGCAGGTTAAGTCTTACTTGTATAGACAGTGGAAGCGGATACTATCAGGGAGAGTGTCTCTACAAGATTTTGTTTTTGCAAAAGAAGTTCGGTTGGGGACTTATAGCACAAGAGACTCTTCACTCCTTCCTCCAGCTGCTATTGTGGCAACCAAATCAATGAGAACAGACCCTCGGACAGAGCCACGCTATGCGGAACGAGTGCCTTATGTTGTGATCCATGGGGAGCCAGGAGCTCGACTTGTTGATATGGTGGTGGACCCACTAGTTCTTTTGGACATTGATACACCCTACCGATTGAATGACTTATACTACATCAACAAACAAATTATACCAGCTTTGCAAAGGGTATTTGGACTCGTGGGTGCAGACTTAAACCAGTGGTTCTTGGAGATGCCCCGTCTCACCAGAAGCTCCCTTGGTCAACGTCCCTTAAGCTCTAAAAACTCACACAAAACGAGAATTGATTATTTTTATCTCTCGAAACATTGCATCTTGTGTGGGGAAGTTGTTCAAGAATCTGCTCAGCTATGCAACCGGTGCCTCAAAAATAAAAGTGCTGCTGATGCAACCATTGTTTGGAAGACTTCAAAATTGGAGAGAGAGATGCAACACCTAGCCACGGTAAGTACTCCAAAATCTATCATTTATATGAACTGTTTACGGAACGTGGTATCGTTTACAACCATGATATTACTGTCTTTACTTTCCAAGAGATCGGGTAGAATCATGTTGCATAAAAACTTGTACACTTTCTGATGTGAGCATTTGCATTTAATCTTGCACACACTTTGAGTTCAAACAGACAGTTTCATCTCATGGTAGTTTGCAGAATAATTTATGCTGAAGAGTGGAGACTTAGTTTCAGATTATCTTTCAGAAATGTTGGCTATTTTATAAATAAGAACGACTGTAGACCTCTTTCCATGTGTGTTTAAAGTTGAGACCTTAGTGAATCTTCGTAGATGCATTCTGTTCCAACTTTCTTGGTCCATTACTTGATTTTTCATTCTATTATCTTATTTGCAGATATGCAGACACTGTGGTGGGGGAGACTGGGTGGTGCAATGCGGAGTGAAATGCAATTCCCTTGCTTGCTCAGTCTTTTACGAGAGACGGAAAGTTCAGAAAGAGCTTCGTGGCCTCTCCTCCATTGCTACTGAGAGTGAGCTTTACCCTAAATGCATGGCTGAGTGGTTCTAACATATTCGGAAAATCAATTCAAAAACCAGTAATCAAACTCTATCCCACACGTTTTTCCACTCAAACTGATCTAAACCATCCCACTCTGTTTAGTAACGATGTGAATTTTGTATTTGCAGGATTTTGTGCAAACTATGTGGTCGTAAGTTATGAGTTCAGGTATTACGGTCTATCATCACCTCGAACTTCGATTGCTTATGTTTTATATGGTTGTGATCAAAGAGCATTTTGCCAAGGACGTGTGAATGTGTGTATAGATAGTAGTAGCATAGTATAGTACAGTCACTCACCATTTTGTTCAATGAGCGTGTACATATCTCTGTGTTGTGTATTAGCAATCTTGGAAAAAAACAATTATAGTTTTGTTTATAACCATGTGTTCGAAAAATGTTCTCTAGAGACTAGAATCTTATGCTAAATCTATTCTTTCACATTGGTGGATTTTTCTTTTTTAAAAAAAAGAGTTTTGAAGATTAAAAGTAGTATAACATCTATACATATTTTACATCTTATTCTAATTGATTTCTTCGTAAGGTTCCCATGTAGAATTCTTGGGAACTAGCAAAATAAAATGTGTTATTTGGACCAACAAACTTCTTACCATACCAAGTTCATCTTATACTCTAATGATAGTTAATAATAATTACTCAGCCACAATAGAAGAAACAATTACACTATTACAAGACGTGATCACATTTACTATATATATTTGACCGTTGGCAAGCCTTATTAGAAGCGACTTGTGTAATCATCCCAAGAACGCAGCTTTTCTGTACTCAGCAAGTGCCCATAATGGGAAAGTGTTTCTGTAGGTAGCATAGTGTATCAAGCAGTTCCTCATGAACACTCCTACTATTTCCTGAAAGTGCAATAACAACATTGTTCAAAATAAATACGTATAAAGAAAATGCAAGAAACGAAACGTTGATTGATTATCTGAATCCCAAGACTCATCTAACCTGTTGAGGGAAATCTCCATTTTCCATTTGCGAATTGATAATAAGTTTCGCAGCACGGTGAAGTGGTATTGGATCTCTCTCAGCCTGTCCAGCGTGAATCAACCCCATTATTGCCCAAGCGGTTTGCACCAGGTTGGATCTTTTCCCTTCTAATGGTATATATCTCTATACACACACCATGTTAAAAAGATCAACATGAGTTGTTCGATAATTTAGTGAATATCATCTAGTAAGGTGATCATGTTGAGTAATGGCATATACCTGTTCCGGGCATGACAGATAGCTTTCACCCCAACCTCCATCATCTTTCTGTGTCCTGAGTAAGAATTCAACACCTTTACGCATTGCTTGGCTAGTTTTATATGTTTCACCCGCGGCTGCTAGGCCGCCAAGAGCAAACCATGTGCCATAAATGAAACAAACACCCCAATTTCCATACCTATCATGATACGAGAAAAACATTTTATTTTGTTAGCTAGACTTCTTCTCAACCATATCTTTTTACCATGTATGAATTATGTTAAGAGTAACATACCATGAACCATCCGACCTTTGTTCGTTTTCCAAGAAATGCACCGCTTTCTCGATGGACCTGCTGATCTCTTTTGTCTTGTAATCCGGATAGAATTTCTTGAACAGAACCAAAGCTTGTATAACAGCTGATGTACATTCCACGTATTCACGCTCGGCCACAAGATTAGCCAGAAATTCTGTGGGATTGAGCAACTGAAAAAAAAACCATTTACGAAGGTTAAACATCAGAGGTTCTCTTCCTAAGAACTTCCAAAGTCGTGTTAAAATGTAAACATCGCTATGTGTTACTGTTTCAGCACTTACTTCAATCCATTTATATGCACGGATAGGCTCCCATGCAGTCACACCTCCATTCTCACTCTACATTAAACAAAATCCATATGTTCCCAATGTAAGCCAATTGGTTTTTTTTGGAACATTAGTCTTATAGATTCAACCTTACCTGAAAAGATAGCAAGAGATTAACCGAATCGTATAGTTGTTCGGGATCTATTTTGTGGCCAACCACCTCAGCTGGCATCATAGAAAGCAGCAGGCAACACTACAAAACAGAATATGTACTTTGAGGCATAACTCTTGTGGAAACTCCTAACTAACTTGTTTATGCGTCAGTGGCTGGTTGGATATACCTTCAAAGCTTCTGCTGTACAGTCTGAAACTTGCCATCCATGATCTCGATCAGATAAAGTCCATGCTCCTTTCGATATGTGGCGGTACATGCTCTTAAAGTCACCAGAAGGATTCTCTCTAACCTGAAATGTTCTTTGGTTTAGGAAAACACTTCCACTTGTTCTTTGAAGCAATTCAATCTAAGGTAATCAAACCTGAGATTTCTTAATGTAATCATGTCCTCTCTTAAGTACATCACCAGTTTCACCCGAGAGATCACAAGCAAGTATAGCTTGAACCGCAAACCCTGTATCCCATAGTTGACTTCCAAAGCTCTGCATTTTCATTCCATCTTCCGCGACCCACATGTAATCCGGTATTCTAGCAAGATGCTTTTTGAAGTAGTCTCCATTCGGGTTTTCAATCCAACAAGCAAGCATGCACAATACCTACACAAAAATGTTCAACTTGGAATTCAAACATACGTTCATAAGAGAGTATATGCATAATTATATAAAGGATCGTTCAATCTTTTACCTTCTCAACACATCCGATAGTGATATAATGGCTATTCTCGTCTTCGTAATGTATGTGTTTCATTGCCAGCCGAAGAGCCTTTTCCCTCACAAGCTTGTTTAATGGCCAACGGGTAAGGAACGGCTCCACAAAGATGTAAAGAGCGTCCCATATCAAATCTTGAATCATAGGATGGGGAAAATACATGTCTTCCTGCAAGACGAAAGATAAAATGCTATCATGACACAAATTAAAAAACTAAAAAATTAAAAATGGTCAATCATATTCATACCTTTGCGTAAAGACGCCGTGTTTTATTCCAGTTGATTGCTTCGTAAGGTTCTAAATAGAGTTCTTCACGCAGTTGCAGAATAAGAGGTGTTATTGGACCAACAAACCTCTTCCCGTACAGATACGACATGGGCATGTAAACCATCCGGCAGTAACACAAAGTTTTTGCTGCATTTTATTTAAAGTGATCAAGACTAATATCAAAAACAAAACAAATCTACAAACGGAAATAAAAATTTCAAGTGAAACAGACAACAAACCTAAGTGCATTGGAAGGAAAGAAGGTAGCAACCAGATCTCAGGAGGCATTGGATTGGTTCCGGACCAATCATAGATTCCTAGTATCTACATACAAAACAAAATCAAAATTTGATTGTAGCACACGTAACTTTTCAACATCTTTCATTGAGATTAGCATTAGGTCGGAAAGATTTACCGATAGCCAAATTTTCCCCCAGGACGGAATATAGGTCACACCACCACGATCAAGAATCCATTGTCTAGCCCGTTTACACGCGTTTTCTCGTCCTCCATTAGGACCTTCTCCGAGCATACGCAAGCAAATGTAATTCAACACGGTGCAGAACATAATGCTCTTGCTCTCAATGTGTAATCCCCATCCACCATCTTCGTTCTACAAATTAAGGGACAAAGCAGAAAATTCCTATAATGATCTCTAGTATATGCTCTGTTTTTGAAAAATCTGAACCAAAAAATTCATCATTCAAAGTACCTGATGACAATAGACATGTCGAAGCATCTCTTTGCGATGTTCTTCATCGAATACCTTCTCGAGATGTCCTGTGATATACAAACAAAATACCTGCAGGAAGATTTTTCCCATTTATTGGAGACATTTTCTTTAACTTCCCGCGAAACCCTAAACCCTAAACCCTAAACTCAAAGGGTATTCGCAAATAGACAATAAATTAAGAAATTGACAAGTATTGAGGGAAACATAAAGAAGAAACATACCAATGGAGGAAGGAAGAAGAGAGGTCCGGTGATTTCTCCCGGCCAGTGGCCATCGGAGGTCTGCAAAGCCGAGAAGAAAGAAACTCCTCTCCGTAATGCATCCGTTGCATTTTCATGCGTTATGCCTTCGGCGTCATCAATCTTCACCGGCGGGATCACTTGCTTGAATTTAGCCTCTTTCAAAAACTGTTGCGTGCAATCCAATCAACTCAGACAAAATTAATTTTGTTTTTTTTCGTCTTTGGCAAGTACAAAATTAATTTCTTTTAATTAAGGCAAAAGAATAAAAACATCTCCTTCCCACGTTATATAATTTAATCTCAGCGGCTCATCAAGTGTTCGCAAAAGTGAAATGTTTCACTATGAGTGTTCCCAAAAGTGAATTTTTTTTTTTGGTAGAACCCAAAAGAGAAATGTTTCTATTTGTTTTTTTTTTTCCTTTTTTTCTATAATTGGTTTCCCAAAAGCCATAATGTGGTATAACAAAAGAAAAAAAAAACACCCCACGTGATTTGGTTGAATAAATGAATATTTGTTAAACTTTTTATATACATATTCATAATAAGAAAATTAAGATTTCTTTTTTGCTCTAAAATATTGTTTTAATCTTATAGCTTTTCTTTCATAAAGGAACCATACTTAAAACATCAACACGTAGCTTTTAACTGATGTAAAATTGTGATCAAGATTATAACTTGTAAGCACACAAAAAATATACAAATTCCGAGTAAAAAAAAACTTACTTGCATTCGCCACAAGAGATCACTGCAACCTTTAACACGGGAATGGTTGACCAAGAAACTCCTGCGAGCTTCCTCAACAGTGGCTCGTTCCTCTAGTGTGCCGGCTTTGGGATCAAACTCCCATGTTTGACGTCCGACAAAGTTGTTGCTGCTGAACAAGTAAGGGTCTTCTCCATTTCCCTTTCCGATCTTTAACCTCCACATGAGCCTATGTAAAGTTGGACAATCTGTATATGTGTGTTACATTCATTTCGATCCGTTATCTCTTAATTTTGTTTCAATCCGAAAAATATGGATAACCATAACTGATAACTTTATGAAGCAAAATAAATACTTGAAAAACATTTTAAAAATAGAGCAAATAACAAATACTGAAATCTAAAAATGCATATATATATAACTAGAAAAAGTTGTATGATAACTATACATATATATTACATTATAACATTATATTTCTTTACAATTTTATATACATAATATGAGATTGAGAAGAGAAGAGAGGAGAAGAGAGAGAGAGAGGGAAAGATAGAGTACTTGAGCTGGGTCGATGATTTCCTTTAAGTTTAGTGGTTAGATACTTTGGAAGAGTTTCATGTAGGTATGTTTATATAGAGGTCCAGGACGAATCAAATAAGAATAATTTAATATTCTTAATCAAAAATTTTATTATTTTATTAAATATTCTTTCTTAGTATTTTTTTCTTATTCAAACTTCTTTTCACGGTAATATTTAAAAGATTCCTTTCAAAAGATAATGAAAATAATCCTTGATTCATAATTGCTGCGAGACATCAAAATTTTAAACATAAAAAATAAACATTTTGTTTTCCTATTTTCTAAAAAGTTCAAAAAAAATTACATATCCGCAGTTATAATTCAAAAACTGTTTGATTAATTTGTGATCCAATTTTAAAAGCATTGATGTAATTAATGTAATATATATATAATAACTTTAGTATAACTTATGTACGATTTAAATATCTAAACAACAAAATATTTATATATATTTTTTTTTTGAATCTAATGTTAAATTATATTCAAAGAAAAAATATCGTTTGTACAACTAGTGCAACGTTTGTCTGATGTTTGAAATATGCAAAAACTGAAACTCAAAGAAACTCAAAGCCTTGATTCAAACCACCTTTGTAGCCCTTTGTCATATCTTCGATCTCCCAAAAGTTTAATAGCCGAAAGAGTGTTCCGAGTGTGCTTGTCGATCCAAGCAACTAGTTGACCTGCCGAGTTATGAGGTTCTCCATGCCTTCTACCATTCCGCTCTCGCCAAATTGTGTAAACGGATGCTTGAAGGATGTAACGTGCCAAAAAACTCTCGATTCGGTTGTGTTGCATATTGGAGATATAGGAAATGAGGGAGTGCCAGTCCGTTGAGTACCTTGTTTTGAAAATGTTCTTAGCCAAAGCAGCCCAAATCTCTGACCCATAGCCGCATTGAAAGAAAAGATGGTCTCGCGTTTCTAAGTCGTTATTGCAGAGCACACATCCCACTTGAGAACCCGTGTTCCATTTGTCGATTCTATCCCCTGTTGCAAGCCTGTTAAGGACTGCGAGCCAAACACAGAAAGAGTATTTGGGAGTTGCATGGGGGAACCAAACTCCCTTGTGCCATGTAACTTCATTTGATGTGGTTCTGATTCTGTTCCATGTATCTTTAGTTGAGAAACAGTCTTTGAATGTGTCGTTCTTGCCTCGCCAGAGCACTACATCATTGTCCTCTGTCCGTCGATCTCTTGCTACCTGAAGAGCCTCTTCAATATGGTTTAGAGGTTCTGTCTGATGCCTTCTTCTTCGGCGGGTAGACCAAGCCTCTGCGACAGTGAGGCTTCTATTTATTCCCAAATCAATTACTCCTCTATCTCCTGTCACCTCCATTAGTCTCCCTAACTCCGACCAGTTGTCATACCAAAAAGAGGTGGCTTCTCCATTTCTAACATCCACCTTACAGAATGTTTGTGCCGTCGCTCTGTACTTGAGCAGTTTTCGCCATATCCAAGACCCCAAAGCAGAGCTCTCTTTCACTGACCAAAAAGAATTTTGTCGTAGAAGGTTTGCTTCTGTCCACTTAACCCATAAAGAGCTGCTGCGGGAGACAATACGCCAAATCAATTTCAAACAACAAACCTCATTAGCTTCACGTAATGAGCGAAGCCCCAGACCTCCTTCGTTTTTTGGTTTACAAACCATATCCCATGATACTTTTGCTTTCTTGGAGCTCAAATCTATACCCGACCACAGAAACGCTGAACATATTTTTTCAATTTCTCGGATGCACGCTCGAGGGAGTCTGAAAGCTGCAAGCCAAAAATTACATATACTCCAAAGAACTGAGCTTATCAAGTTTAGCCTTCCAGCAAAAGAGAGAAAGTGTGATGTCCAAGATTCAATTTTCCTGCGGATTTGCTCTATTAGAGGGAGGTAGTCCGAAGAGTTGAATCTCTTTGTAACAAGAGGGAGCCCGAGATACCTTATTGGTAGTTGACCAACTTCAATAGAGAAACGTTGAGTGATCTCGTGATGGACAGGTTCCTGAATTCCCGCTAAGAACATAGTGGACTTCTCCATACTAATCTTTAGACCAGACCATTTAGCAAAATTATCAAGCACCTGAACTATACCTTCAATGGAACGCACTTTTCCGTCAGAGAGGATCATAAGGTCATCGACAAAGCTCAAGTGAGTCAAACCAAGTGATCTACATTTCGGATGGTAACCGAATTTTCTTGCACCTGCAGCTTTATCAAGCAGTTTGGATAGCACCTCCATACTCATAACAAATAAGTATGGGGAAAGGGAGCAGCCCTGTCTTAAGCCTCTAGCACTTCTGAAGAAACCCACTAATTCACCATTCACCTGGACCGAGAATGAAGCCGTAGTGATGCATAGAGTAATCCAATGAATTGTTAGGGAAGATAAATTGTTTTAGTTAATGGATCTATATATATCTTAAAATGTTATAGACGAATATAAAAAAGAGAAATATTAATATCTAACTGGCAGCTAGTAACATTTTTTTTTAAAACACTCTTAAGAAAAATTTCTTCATTGCATGCAGGACAAGACCTATAGTAAATATATGTACCAATCAGCATTAAATCACGACCGTTGGGAAACCTAACCATAAAACACGTCGTGTGTATCGTCTTAGATGCAGAGTGGAGAGATGTCATCATCTTATGTGTGGAAGTAATAGAGTTATGTGTCGCGCACATGATCGTTACGATCTTAATATAGTACACTTGACATAATTAGAAGTATATCGAGTACAAGAGAACAAAAATAGAAGAAATAGAGTAAAAGAGAGGGAACTAACTCAATTTGTCAATGGTCCTAGCTACACAAAGAGCTTTGATTTATAATCATTTTTTTCTTGAAAAGATTTATAGTTACCTTCTTAATTGATCTTTTTGACAAAGAGCTATGATAAGGTATGAATGAGAGAAAAGGCGTAGCGGTTTTTTGCTTTCTATTTATTATGGGTTTTTGCGTGATATTTGGAGTAAAACTCACTTCTATTATAGAGTTCGTCTATTTTAAATGCAAAAACAAAAAAAATACATTGAAAATGGTTTTTCTTTTTGACCAAACACTCAAATTTGTACCGAGTTAGGTGAATGAATGATTTTGATGTCTCTTGCTATGTTTAATAGTTTCTTATTGTCAATGCTGAAAAACTCCTAAATATTTTAGTGGGTTGTGATGAGTTTTGGATAGTAACTGGTTAAAACTCCAAACAGTTTTGAGAGAACGAATGAAGCAGATTGTTGGTGAAATGTTTGGAGAGTTTCTATCGATAGAAACCTCTGATTTAGTATTCTTAGAGAAGGTTACATGAGTTTCCTAAAAATTTCAAACCGGCTTCCTGATTTTGGTAAATCTCATGTGAATTTTTCAAAGCAGTTTGGTTCGGTTATTGACGAAAACTGGTTTAAATTTGGTAAAACCGATCTAATTGTGGTATAATCCGAAAAATTTGGTAAAATCTCGGTTTGGTTCGTTCGGTTCCCAAGGATTAAAATCCGAAAAAAAAAAAAACAAACACGATTGGTCAAAGTCAACTCTCTCCCTTCACTTCCCAGCTTCACTGATCATCGCAATCACAAAACCCCAACTAACACATTCTTTAATTTCGATTGCATTTTCTCCGATTAATTTCTGTCTCCCGATACTCCGACCATGACCGGAGCTAGCCGCCGGAGCGCGCGTGGTCGAATCAAATCAACATCATTTCCCGGCTCCGATGAAGGAAGCGATTCGCTTCGTTATCCTCCGAGTATCCGCCGCGGCAAAGGCAAGGAACTTGTGTCGATCGGTGCTTTTAAGACGAATCTCAAGATATTGATTGGGTTAATCATATTAGGGATTATAGTCATCTACTTCGTAATCAATCGGCTTGTTCGTCACGGATTGTTGTATGATGAATCTCAGAAGCCTAGGGTTATCACTCCTTTTCCTGCTCCCAAACTCATGGATTTGTCTATGGTACACTAAGCTCATATCAACAATTCGTTCTTGTTGATCTTGTGAGATACTGAATTAGAAGATTTGTATTTGTATATGTATCAGTTTCAGGGCGAGCACAAAGAGAGCTTGTACTGGGGAACTTATCGTCCTCATGTTTATTTTGGTGTTCGAGCGAGGTATGTAGTTTCACTGTGAATGTGTCTGTTGCTTCACCTCAATCAAATTAGTTGGGCTATTCTTTGTACAAGTAAATAAGTTGTACATGGCAATGCAGAACTCCATTGTCCTTGGTAGCTGGCTTGATGTGGCTTGGTGTCAAAGACGAGATGTATGTTATGCGGCATTTCTGTGAAAACTCTGATGATTTAAGTACATTTGGCTGGAGAGAACATAATGGACGGGATTTTGGGCGGCAAGAGCTGGTTGAGAACGATATGATATTAGAGACGAGTTTTGTGAAGTTGAAGGGGGAAAGCTTTGGTTATGGTGGGGATTGGGCAGTTCGGATTGATGTAAAAAATAAAGGGTAATTGCTAATAGACGCTAGTACTGTTTTATATTTTTCTTCACCATGTCGGCTTTTGTTATTTTGGCTTATTGATAGAAATGCATTTTACACTGTGGCATGACAAAGGTTTTTTTCCTTGACTATGGTGGAATTAAACTAGGTTGAATGATGATGTGAAGAGAAGTGCCCATCTCTTCTTTTATTTAGCTGATGAAGGTGGCAATGTTTTAAATTTAGGCCACGATAATTTGGATTTTCAAGGGAGCTCACTCCTGGTTTCGGGTTCACGTGAAGATGTAGGAGACTGGCAGATACACTTAAAATCACAGGTATTTTGTGATTTTAAATGCTCTACAGAATTCTTAAGATTTTTGTAGCTGTCTCTGCTGGAAGTGGATCTTTGAGTAATTTGACATTTTCTGTCATGCTTCGTATGTCATCTACTGATGCTGATATGGATATAACCAGTTTAATTGTTATTCATTTTCAGAATCAGCTCGAGACACATTATTCCGGTTTCAAGACGCCTCACATATATAATCTGTCTGATCTAGTTCAGCAAAATCTCGCTCTGCAGGTCTGCTAATTTTCGAGCTCATAACTCATTTTGAAAGGGCCCAAGGTATTTTGTTTTTCTATAAAGACTTGGCTTGTATGTTTTCAGGCAAGGAAGTTTGGACGACTTCAGCTCTCTGACACATCAGAGGATTCTTCTAACATTTACATCTTTCAGGTAATCAGTCTTAAATAATGAAGATGTATGCATGTGTATTGTCGTATAAATATATCGAATGTTCTTAACTCCTATGGTATCTAGGATCAATATGTTTCACTGTGTCCAATGACAACATATCCTTTGTCATACAGATTTCTGGGAGGCTACCATTTACAATTGATATACCCTTCGTTTCCGGGATCAAAGGAGAAAGTTCAAACGTGGAAAAGCGGTTAACAAGTCTCACAGGTTTCTTAAGCATCTTGTTATTACCAAGCATTATTAGTGATGATTTGAATTTTCTTAACCTTAGTTTGTGTATGTGACTCGCATTTGAGTTTGAGTATGGAAGAACTTTCTTAGTTTGAGTACGGAAGAACTTGCATTTGAGTTTGAGTACAGAAGAACTTGCATCGTGTTTGAATTTTCTTAACCTTAGTTTGTGTATGTGACTTGCATTTGAGTTTGAGTACTGAAGAACTTGTCATCTGGTAATGAGTTTGTTACAGCTTCCTTTACCTTTTGTGTTCCTTAGCTCAGATAAAGAACACTAATCTGAAATTTATGTCTGGTTTCTGTGTGTGTTTTTGTGTTTCAATGTTTCATAAGTGTCCCTCCAACCTGAGGAAAAGCAGAAGCTTATTATTCTGTAGCTTTGCTAGTAGGGATACTAATTATATGTATCTATTATGGGTCAATGCAATAGAACTTCCATTCATGAGAATGTTCTCTGAGAGATGGGCTTAATTTTTATATAACTGTTGTCTACTTTTAATGCATTTGTACTAAGTTTCATGTATATTCCATGTAGGTTTGCCACTCTCTGATCTACTTAAAAAGAAGCGTAAAGAGTTTGATACAAAGTTTGAGGAATGCTTCAACCTTTCTGAAAAGGTATGCTTTTAATTTGTTCTCTCTTTTTTTTTTTTTAATCTACAGGCTTCAATTACCAATGTTAATTGATGATCTTTAGCACACCCAGAGGTCTTGTTTCATGGATGATCTTGTTGTAGTTTTGAATTAATCCCCATGAACAAATTTGTCTGGATGTGAAGCCAAGAACAGTGACTGCTGAACAGTGAATACTTACTGTTTTCACTTTAGCAATTTCAATCTTCACCTCTCAGAATCTCCTTCTACTAGATGTAGTCCTTCTCTCTCTCTCTGCTTATGTGCAGTTCTGTTTCTCAATGGCGAGCATATGTTGTCAGATACTAGCTGTCATAACGTACATATAGTGATAATTTGCATTTAATCCAAATTGATGTTCATAGAAGAGATTAGGATCTCAAGTACAGTTTCCTGTGGTTTCAGCATGATTCAGAAACATTGGGGGTTGGCAAGACTGCAATTGCAAACATGCTTGGTGGCATTGGTTACTTCTATGGCCAATCAAAAATTCATGTTCCTAAAAGTACTCAGGCGAGTTTATTTCCATCCCGCATCTTGTTTACTATTTTTTATATATCCCTTTTATGTTCTTCCCATCTGAAAACTAGGCTGGACCTCTCGTAGAATCATACAATATAATAATACCTTCTATTGCAGCCTGAAAGTCGGAATGATTTCTTGCTGTATTGGCCAGCCGAGCTGTACACAGCTGTTCCAAGCCGGCCCTTTTTTCCTAGGGGTTTTTTGTGGGACGAAGGTTTCCATCAATTGTTAATCTGGTTCGTTCTTATTGATCATTCGTGTGTGATTTCTTTGATATGATGCTATTTTGATTGTTTCTTAAATGGATTTTCTGAAAGCCACTCTTGATTGAGAAAATATCATTACTGAGTTACAACCTATGCTCAACCCACTAGTTGATCATTTTTGGACTGTGTTATGTGTACTTTGAGCAGGCGCTGGGATTTTCGTATAACCTTGGATATCGTTGGACACTGGTTAGACCTATTAAACATAGATGGATGGATTCCACGTGAGCAAATTTTGGGTGCTGAAGCTCTGAGGTATTTACAAACTCTCTCTCTCACTAACAGTGGTAGTCATGGTTTTTGATGTAATTGTTTTTGAGAGTTTCTTTAACTGCAGTAAGGTTCCAGAGGAATTCGTTGTTCAATACCCGAGTAATGCCAATCCACCAACACTTTTTTTGGTGATACGCGGTAAGAATCTGTTGTTCTTATACCTCTACTTGCTTTGTCTTTTGTCATTGCTCTCTCTTTGTTCATGTACGCCTTTGTGACTTTGTGCCATACAAATTAGTTTATTTTAACGCCAATCTTTGACCAGCATTTATTATAGAAGAGGGAATCAGCAATATCGTTATCAGCTCTTTCCGTTAGTGATATTTCTATTCCTATTACAATTAAATGTTTAGAACTGTGTTGCCATGATCATAAGAGTGCTTTCAGCTTGCTACTCATTTTGCGGATTGAAAATGTGACCTATTCATGTAAAGATAGAAAAACGGCTTCACAATCAATTCAGTTCCATATAGTGACAATCTTTTTTTCCAGATCTGATAGATGCTATAAGGATGGAAAAGTTTATTGCATCAGAAAAGGATGAAGTATTGTCATTCCTTGAGCGGGCTTCTGTTCGCTTAGATGCTTGGTTTCAGTGGTTTAATACTTCCCAGAAAGGTAAGAACATGGTTATCCTCTAACTTACAGATTTATAGAACTGTTTCAATCTTCAACTGCTCTGCGTTTTAGAGTTAGTAGTATCGTAAGTGACTATTGTTTACCAATCACAGTTGGATCCCTAGTTTTTAGTCACGATCACTAGATGTGATGAGTTCTTGTATATAACTGGTATTTTTATAGTCTTAATATACTATGGAGTGGGCTAGTTCATATTTTCTTTTTCATGAATTGATTAAACTCTAGGCAAGGAGATCGGAAGCTACTTTTGGCATGGCAGAGACAACACAACAACTCGAGAACTTAACCCTAAGGTACCATTTCTTGGTTTCTCGTAAACTGATAGCTCTATTTAACCCTCACATAGATTGCGGTTCCCGAGTGTCGACTTATAAGGTTTTCTCTGACTTTAGCTGCTTCCATATGCTCTATATTAACGTGATAACAATGATTGAGGAATTTTTTCTGCGGTATATGCTTGTTAGCGACAAGTTGTCTCAGAATTCCTTGGGTGTGTGTGGGTGACTTTTTTTTGTAGGATTGCTACTGTGTCAGTTGTTTATCTGCGGATATGGTAGATCAATTGACAGATCCTCAGAGATGAATCTGATGTCTTAAATCTCCTGCAGACGCTTTCGTCGGGGCTGGATGATTATCCCCGGGCTTCACACCCAAGTGAAGATGAGAGACATGTTGATCTAAGATGCTGGATGTACCTTGCTGCAGATTGCATGCATTCCATCACGGAGCTTTTAGGAAAAAATGATAAATTTTCAAAGGTTAGCACAAGATGGTAAAGAAAGGGGTGTCTCTCTTATTTTTTGTTCGCATGATACTGACGTAAAAAACAAATCCTGCAGGAGGATTACAATTCAACTGCCAAGCTGCTTTCAAATTTCAATCTTCTGAATCAGGTCTATTCTCTATCAGATGTCAACAATTTTCCCACTTTCATTAATTTTGATGCTGCTATATATATAAACCATGATTTCTTTCTCAAGCAAGTATCGCATTAAATTTTTCTTCTCACCATTCTCTATTCTCATTCATGGTTAATTTCTGAGCAGATGCACTATGATAGTGACCATGGGGCTTACTTTGACTTTGGTAATCATACAGAAAAAGTAAGAGAAGTTTCATTAAATAAGAAGTTTGAGTGTTAATTTCTGTCATATAGAAGAAGAAGAATGTAGGATTCTTAGTCTTCTCGTTAAACCACATGTTCGATGATTGATCCCCAGGTTAAGTTGATATGGAAAGAGGTAATTCAAGAAAATGGTCAATTATCTCGACAGCTGTTAAGAAAGACTTTTGGGAAGCCAAAGCTTCAATTGGTTCCTCACGTGGGTTATGTCAGCTTCTTTCCCTTCATGTCTAGAATCATCCCACATGTGAGTTTTTGGCCAAAATTCATTCCACTATCAATGATCTTTGAAACCCTTATGGATCAGTTATTTTTGTTATCTAAATCGTCACATATTTTTTCTCAATAAAGGATTCTCCAATCCTCGAGAAACAGCTCGATCTCCTTTCAAATAGGAGCATCTTATGGAGTGACTACGGAATAGTTTCGCTTGCCAAAACCAGGTAAGCCCACAAGAAGGAACATACATACTCCAAAATTATCTTCTTCAATGATAAGAAAGAACATTGTTTTGATGCAGTTCTATGTATATGAAACGTAACACTGAGCATGATGCACCATACTGGAGAGGTCCTATCTGGATGAACATGAACTACATGATTCTTTCTTCTCTTCACCATTACTCTATAGGTAATTTTCTACCCTCCACATGGTAAAAAACACGACATCGTACTACAAGACATTTACGTTTTCTTACCATCATATGCATTGCGTTTACCTTGTGTCAAATTTCCTGCAGTGGATGGGCCATATAGAGAAAAGTCAAGAGCAATTTACACGGAGCTAAGGAGCAACTTGATAAGGTATATTATATGGTATCTGCGATAGAGAGATATTGTTTGATATTAACTTGAACTTGAAACATGTCATAAAATACAGGAACGTGGTTAGAAACTATTACGAGACGGGGTACATCTGGGAACAATATGATCAAGTTAAAGGAACAGGCAAAGGCACACGACTCTTCACCGGCTGGTCTGCGCTTACCTTGTTAATTATGTCCGAAGATTATCCCATCTTTTAGAACCTCTTCGGAAACGGAACTTAAAATTATATGAGTTAGAACTTAGTAGATCAGTTTTGACGTAGGGCTTTTTGTATTTTGCTCATGTGGTTATATGTCCCAGATTTTTGTGGTTATATTCCCAGACCAAACCAACCACTTCAGCAGGAGCGAGATCCATGACTAGTCTCGTTGCACTACTATAGTTATTTAAACTAAAAATTACATTATTTTACTAAAACATAAACAATAAATCTAACATATCTAAGAACTAACATTTTGGTAGTTCAATGGTTGAGTAGCTGTGTCTTTTTAATAACTTTAAAATCCATTGGTTGGTTTTTTTTCTTTACCTCAAGGCTTGCAAAGTGCTAACTTCACAAATATCAAATGTGACTTTGGAAAATTCCATTTTCATTTTCTTTTCTTTGGTCAAAAGAGTTTGGAATTTTCTTATACATGCCTTTTACACATTGTTGACCTAACAACCACTTGAACAGAAGAGATATATACATGACTGGTACTATTACATTAATGCATTATTCATGAGCCAACCACCCACCTAGTAAATATTTGTAACTCCTACTAGTAGTATATATACAAGTATACAACACCCGTCTTAAGGGAGACTCATAACGTTTATCAATACACTTAAAATGTTTTCTTTTTCAGAACTTTCAATTTCTTGAGAGGAGAAAATTATGGAGAGAATAAAATGTTTTATTTTGCAAGCAAATGGGAGATTTTTTTTTATGATAGTACTAAGCACCATCGCTGCTGTTGCAAACGGAAGACGCTTTAAGCACCACGGATCAAGAAAACATGGTTAAAGAAGTTTTAAAGGGTTAGGGTTCTAGATTCTTAGATACCGTTTACTTATTATCTTTGTTAATTTTAAGTTACGTTACAAAAATGTGTTTGTTAAACCGAATAATTACAAGTCAGTAGAATGGAGGAACACTAACTAATCTATTATTTTACATTCATTGTTGACACAAAATACTGATAGATTGATGGTTTTGATGCGCAGGTTGGGACATTCATACAACTCATATCAACTTTCTTTGGAGGATTCGCGTTTGTCTTTATAAGAGGTCTGCAATTAGCGTTTGTTCTTCTCAGTTGCATCAACTTCTCGGTTGATGTTCAAGTAATTGCAAGTAGGATTGGTTCTTCGAGGTTTTCCAAGCTCCTATGGTAGAAAAAAGATCTAGCTAAACAGGAAGAAATAAAAACACAACTTTCGTTACAACTATCATTCTCACTCACTCATGTGAGCACAAAGAGTAGCATAAGAAGCCTTTGACGTCTTCACCAACCTCTCATCGTTCCCTTCTCTGCAATAACGTCGTTTTGCAAAACCGCAATGGTCCTGAGCCGATAAGCCTCTAATGAAATTATAGACTCATCGGCTCAGGACCATTGCGGTTGTGCAAAACGGTGTTACTGCCGAGAAGGGAGCGCATGAGAGGTTGGTGAAAACGTCAAAGGGTTCTTATGCTACTCTTTTTTTGCTCATATGAGTGAGTGATAAGTGATAACCATAGTTGAAAACCAATGTTGTGTAGTGTTTCCAAAAATGTTGTAATTTCAAAACTGTGTTAAAAAAGTCTCTGTCGCTTTTCAATATTATAAAATCAACTAGCTTTTTACCTTTGCCAATGAAACGTGAATTGCACTTAAACAAATTCCAAAATAAATCAAAACGTAATCAATCATATGTTACAAGAAACAAAGAGGAGAAATCACAACAACACTCAAGCAGTGTCAAATAAAACACTCCACTTTATTAAATTCAGTGTTATCATCAACTTAAGAGACAAAAGCTCTCTTTGGATTTGGATCATATGAAGAAATGTAACAACAACACAATGGCAATCAATCAGGCTGTGATTGTGACGCTGCATACGCAAGAACCAGACAGTTTTATCTCAGATGTTTTCCACTGTGTCCCTGGTGAAGCATTCGGGTCATACACTAAAGTACATTGACCAGTTTCTTCCTGAGACGAAAATAGCAAAAGCTTCCCACTCAGCTTACCAAACTGAAACCCGGCCCTCGAGCTTCCGGACAGCGGAAGAGCCACCACTTCCCAGGTCTCGTCTTCCGCATTGAACACCGACATCTTTCTCTGGTTCTTCCAATCGATACAGAACAGCTTTTTCCCTACTTCAACATGAGCTGTGACCATCTGCAAGAGAACATATCAAGCAGTTGAATCTTAAAAAAAATCGCTATACTCGAAAACCGAGCTAAGGAATCATACTCAATGAGCAAAGACTCAAAAAGACTTACCGTTAAACCGTTTTTACTACCATGCCAGGAGCCACATTGAGTGTTGTACACATCAAGAAGTTTTGAGTTTCCAATAGTGAAGTTGGATCTTCCACCCATCACATATAGCTTTCCATTGAATCCGCTAGCGAAACAACCCCACCTCGGACGCCTTAAAGACTCCACGAAAGTCCATGTACCCGTCTCAGGATCATACACCTCTGCACTCGACAGACTCTCACCATCTACCCCGTGACCTCCCACAACATAAACAAGCCCGTTAACCTCAGCGCAAGCGAAATCATACCGAGCTACCTCCAGGTCTGCTAGTCTACTCCAGCTGAAACAAAATCCACTCAATCATTGGATCAAAGTTCACAAAGGATACTGAAGAAATCAAGAAAATAAAAGCTGACGAACCTGTTGAGGCAAGTATCATACTGATAAACTTCAGCAGATGCAACAAGAGAACCGTTGATCATACAACAACCAGCGATAACAAGAAGTTTCCCATCAACCACAACAACCTTAAACCCTGTTTTTTCAGGACCAGGCATCGGTGGAAGAGATGATAGCTTCTGTCCTAAACAGTCCATCACCTCCCACTGGCTCTCTTTCCCACCAGCATTCGTCGTTAAAACATATAGCCACTCCTCAAGCATACCGGCGAGTCTTCTCACGGTAATAAACTCTTTGCTCTGGACAACAAACCTCCATTTCTTGCATACACTTCCCATTGAAGGGAACCTAGAACGCGGAACAAGCGCCAAGCATTGCTTAGCGACATCATCAGGCAATCCCGGGATCAAAGGGTCATCCATAAAATTCTCAGACAACCGTGAACCGATATCAAGATTTCCTTTCGAGAAACACATGCCGTGATTCACAATCCTTTTCTTCCCACTTAAAGCATAAGCTTGCATCTTTTGAACTAGAGATAGCTAAATCTCCCCAAGAACAAATTTTCTAAACTATGATATTTTGTGTGTTTGTGTATGAAAATGTTATTAAAGAACTTCGTGAAACCCGTCACGTATAGTGATTTTCAAAGAGAGAGGAATAAACAATGTAGCGGAGAAGAATGGAATTGAAGTGACCACTGATGAATATTGATGTCGAGCACAATCTAATTCATGTTCCATACCAATGGCTTCGTTAGAATCTATGATTGTTGTTGTTAAATAAATGTTGTTTCTTCTCACACACATCTCTGTATCTACCAAGAACACGATCAAAACATTAGTCAACAACAACAAGATTCTTCCAAAAAGAATGTTTCTTTTTTGAGTAAAGAAGATGTTACCATTAAAGGTCATGCTAGAGAAGAAGATTCATCAGCCACCCACAACATCCATCTTTAGAAGTAATGAATTTTCTGCAAAAAAACAAATTCAGATAAGTCAACTCTTTAAACGAAGTCAAGAATCAATAAGATCAACATCAAACAAAGAGATAGGGTGCTAAAATAAAAGAAACAATTTTGCAAATTACAAACAAGAGAATAAATTTGAATGGCTATAAATTATTTCCTAAAAAAGTAAAACATTATCAAGAAAATCTGAAAATTAAAGAATTCTCACAAAAATATTATCAAGAAAAGCAAACACTAGTTTCAAGAATTGGCCAAGATCTCAAAGATCGAAACTTCTTTATAGGAAAAGCAGAGTAGGAGAATGAATGGAGACCTGAAGAAGATGATTCATTTACTTGGGAGAGGAAAATCTAATCCAAAATGGGTAAAGACATTTATACAAAGAAAGGAGAAAATAGCGGAGAAAGAAGATAAAGATGAGGTTATACCGAGAGAATAGGGAGCTTTGTCGGTTTTTGGGTTCTGTCTTCTGCTTTGTAATGCGTTGAAGTTGGTGCAGAGAGAAGATAATATTTGGACAGAAAGAGAGAGACAGAGAGATCTAATAATGGTAATGGAGGAATACAAGGAGCGTCAGATTAGGGATTATATAGAGAGGCCAATGAGATCATACGGTGGAAGGGATCACCGTAGATAATAATGTCAACTAGTCACCACGTCAATGACCCCATCATCCCTATATTTTAATACTATATTAGTATTCATTTATGCTCTGAAAGACATGTTTTTGATTGTGACAACCAAGAAAACAAAGACATGTTTTGATGAAAACAAAGAAATTCATTCAAAGTAACCATAGATTCAAAAAGAATATACAAACTAACTATGAGCTACAGTAACCTGTCGGTAACATGTCGGAATGCATGTGTAATTACGTATGTCCTTTGTAACACGCTTTTTTCCGAATTATATGTGATAGCATAATATATATCTTTTTATCATGTATTTTTTTCGTATTACACGTTATTTATAAACAACACATGATATTTCTTGGAAAAAACATTCTATTCAGTATAATATCTCTCTTTATCATGTTATTTTATAAAAATACACGTGTTTTATTAAGATCACATGTGATTTCTTTTTTAAAAAGATGATTATTTTTTAGCAATACACGATTTTTATTAAGATTACATGTGATTTCTTTTTAAAAAGATTCTATTCAGATTAAATTTTCCATAACAATGTTTTTTTTCTTAAAAAAACACTACGTAACAATGTTTTTTCTTAAAAAATCACTATGTTTTTTGAAATATCATGTCTTTTAGTTAAATATAACATGTGAAATTTAAATGTTACATGCTATTTTGAAAAATCTCACAAAACTGTCTCGCATATCGTTGATCTTGCAACAAACAAAAGATAATTTAGGTATTTCACTTCATCTAACAACGTGAGTCCATGGCTATTTTGCAACAAAAAAATTTCTCTCTGCTATTTTTTAATTTGAGTGTTTTATTTGACTATTCCATAATATTACCCTTAAAACAATATTATAATTCTTCATAAACTATTTTTTGTCCAGATTTTTTCCTTTTTTGTTTCTTTTGTTATAGTTTATCATTTTTTTGTCATATTAATTTTTATAGTTTTTTATATAATTTTTTTTGGTAGGATTATATAATTATTTTTTGAGTAACAGATTAATAAATTCAACGAAAGACAAATTAAAGGATGAAAGAGAGAAAAAGCAAGAATGATGAAGATGATTTTTATTCTTCTTGTAACCAAACCGTGTAATTTACAAAACGAACTAAAGATTCGTATTATGGAGAAATTTTGACAACTTTTACTATACGCAGACCCGTCTCTACCCCTAGGTAAGGTAGGTAAATGCCAAGGGTCCAATATTAGTTTCAAAAATTTCTTAAAGAAAAAATGCCCTAATTGTTTTTAAAAAAAAATTTACTAAGAGTTTTTAATTTTTTTTTGTTTTGCCATAGGTCTCATTATATATTGAGACGGTACTGACTATACGAACAAATGTTACACAAGTGGGTTCTACTTCTAACTTAGATAAAAACCATGCTATTGCTAATCATTTTACTAAATAGACCAAAACAAGATAAATATATAATTCCCTCTATATAGCTGCGTCGAACCTAGAACTTGCGTATTCCTAATAACACGTCTTTTTTTATATGGTCAATACTGGTGTAATAACATGGGTCAAATTAAGAAACTTTAAAGCGAATAAAAGGATACAAAAACTATTAATACTAGTTCACTGTTTACCTTCTCACTTTTAAGTTTTAACACACAATAGTGTTTAGAGTAAAACTATAAATGGTTTCATATTTTCTTTTTCTTATTGAAGGTTATTGGTGGTAATTTATTTTGATATATAAGTCAATCAATTTTCAAGTTATTGAAATTAATATATCGACATTGTGAAATTTAGAAGAAAAGAAAAAGACTCAAAGTGGAAAAAAAGAAAGCATATCATCAGACGATAGAGATCTGTTGTGTCTGAATGCACATGCAATCGTATCGTATCCCTTTGTATCCGTCTGACGTGGGCCAACTGGTGTGGGTCGTAGTGGTTAGGGCTGGGCAAAATATTCGTTAGATTCGCTTCGATCCGTTATTCGGTTCTATTCGATTCGAAAAATCTGGATATCCGGAGTTTTACGAGGCAAATCAAATACTAAAAATTAATATTCGTTAAAAGCGAAGCAAATAACAAATACTAAAATTTAAATAGGCGGATATCCGCTCCGATCCGGTATACATGAACATATGTATATGTATATAGATAATTACAGATATATATTAATAATTTTACTATTTTTATATGTAAGTTTTATAAATTTATGTTCATCAAATTAATTACGTTACTATTAGTTTCACCAATTAAAGAATAAATATTTTTTCAATGAAATATTACCTATTTTGTTATAAATTTCTCATTTTTATGTTTTTTTAAAAAAAATTTATAATTGTTTTTTGATATATACTGAGCAAATCGAATATCCGGCAAATAGCTCAGATTTTAACGGATATCCGGACAGCCGTTTATAGACAATGAATACTTTATGTGGTAGGAGTTTGCAATTGCATTTTTTTTTTCTTTCCGCAAACACCATTTCTATTAAGATTTCGGAAAGGAGTTTGCAATTGCATTATGAGTTCAAAGTAAATATATATTAAAAATTTGTTTCTTAAACTATGGACCAACCATATTCTTAGTGTTGATTTATTACTAATCTATATATACATTTTTGGAGTACACTTAGCAAATAAATCCTAGAGTTGCTAAGTATTTACAAAGAATGCCATTGGCATTAATTATTTAATTTCGAAAATTTAAATCAAAGATATTAATTACCAAAAAAATCTTAACATAATATCTTAACCATAACTAATCCTTTCCATAATATCTTAAAGATATTAATTAATTTTGACAAAATCAATTTTTTTAAGTAATTCATTTTTAAATATATTTATTTTAATGTACATTAATTCAATTATGGTTACTATTCGTTATTTTACAAACTCATTTTGCTATATTACTTATTATAAACCAAACTCATTTTGGCTATAAATAATTTGTTTAGTTATAAATTAGATTAACTCCAAAAAAACATTATTACCAAATATATAAATATTATTTATGTCTACGGAATAATATGTTATTTTAGATTGTTATTATTTCATAAGGTTTCAAATATTATGAATATTTTAACTTTATAAGAATTTTAAATATTATTAATTTTAAACTTATAAGGAATTTTTTAAATTTTATAAAACTTTTAAAGTATCTATAATATTTCAATTCTATAAAAAAGTTTATATATTAATAACATTTGAACTCTATAAAAATTATAAATATATATACTATAGACACAATTTAAAAGCAAACTTTTAAATTTACTCGAATTATATGTCTTCTAAATAAAATTATTATTAAAAAGAAAAATAACATGATGTTTAATTTCACGGGACGGGATTATATGGTGTGACGGGTTTGTGTCGATATTAATACGGAACGATATACTACGAGTGAAATCTTATAATTAACAACCAAAATACAATTATGAAGTTTGGGTCGATATTAAAACTTTTATGAAGTTTCAAATATTATAAATATTTAAACTTTATAAGAATTTATAAGAAGTTTAAACATTGTAAATATTTTAAGATGATAAAACGTTTAAAGTATTTATAATATTTAAATTTTATAAAAAGTTTATAATATTAATGATATTTGAACTCTATAACAATTAAAAAAAAAATATATATATATATATATATATATATATATGGGAGCCATTTAAAGCAAACTTTTAAATTGACTCAAATTATATATGTTTTTTAAATTAAAATATTATAAAAAACAATAACAAAATAATGTTTAATTTCACGGGACAGGGTTATATGGTAGGAGGGGTTTGAATCAATATTAATACGAGGCGGTACTACGAGTGAAATCGTAGAATTAACTATCAAAATACAATAAATGCTAAACAAAACAAACAATATTAACAAAATAAATTCAACTTAAAATTTCAATTTTTAGTTATCAAAAATCGACCCGTGGGTTTAATGCGGGGTAATATATATAATAAGTACATTTAAATCAAACAAAACAATAGATAATTTTCAAAAACTTTATAGCCCCGCGGTGTACCGCGGGTTAAAATCTAGTCTATATATACATTTTTGGTGTACACTTAGCAAATAAATCCTAGAATTCCACCTTATTTACGTGTTCATGCCATTGGCATTTATTATTTACTTTTACAAAATTTAAATAAAATATATTAACCAAAAAATATCTTGCCTAATTTGTTTCTAAAAATCTCTACACAATCTTTCCATATATCTTCAAAAAAATTTTATAGCAAATATTTATATTAACATTTTGCATAGCAATAAAAATACTAATTTCTAATTATCAAAATATTCACATAGAAAAATTATATACACATACAAGAAAAAAAATTATATCTATCATCATTTAAGCCGTTGCTTTATTTAAATAAAATAAAAACACAAAAACTTGAAATCATATATTTTATATGATAAATTTAAAATATATATTAGTAGTATAAATTTAAAATCATTCAAAGAACGGTATACCACGGGTGAGATCCTAAAATTATTGGATTTTTTAACAATAATAATTTATTTTCTTAGATTTTATAACACTAATAATTTAGCTAAAGGGATAATATAGACGGGTTTATATGGAATGACGTGTTTGGGTCGATATTAATAAATAACGGTATATCACGGATGAAATCCTAAAATTAACAATCAAAATATAATTATACAATCTTAAACACAAAACAAAAGAAACAATATTAACAAAACAAATACAACTTAAAATTAAAAAAAAATTAGTTATAAAAAAACCGACCACGGTATACTGCGGAGTAAAATATTCAAAATTTTAAAATCGACCATACATCGTTACTTAAAAAAAATGTATGTTTTCGTATCTATACTTCAAAAATTGAAACCTAAACAATAGTAATCATACACTAAATAATACATAGATAGATATCTACATTTAAAAATACAAATTAATATGATATATCTTCAGTTAATCTT